AATAAATTTTAAAAAATTAAAAAATTAAAAATTAAAAAATTAAAAAATTAAAAAATTAAAAAATTAAAAAATTAAAAATTAAAAAATTAAAAAATTAAAAAATTAAAAATAATTATACGTTAATCACGCCGCAGTATTTATTTGCCGATCAAAACGAGGTCTGCATCTCCGCAAGGCTGAGTGGTCCCACAATTGTTGGTAACGCCAGGCACCAACGCTCCAAATGTGGCTGTGCCGCAGGCTCTCGTGGAGTTTACATCAAACCTGTTCGAGGAGCTCTATTTAAACCTTCTCTCATTCTCGTCCTCACTTTTACCCTTGACTTTGCTGTTTAAAATTCACACATCATGCCGCGTTTACAAATGATCTCAGCGGTACTGCAAACCGTTTTCCTTATAGCGTGCGGCCTTGTCATCTCACACAATCTTTACCTATCCGTAGAAGGCAAATTCACCAGCAATGATCTCTACAAGAATTGGACAGAAGCCGTGGAGCTTGCTGCAAAGAACCACAATAGAAGCAATCAGACTACGCTAGCCATCGGGCCAGGAGCGGTGGTGATCTCCAATGATACCGCATTCAATGCTACATCAACAAGCACCTCCAGCTCGAACAGCAATGAGTCTTTCTACTTGAAATCCTTGCCCAGGGATCTTTTAGTGTATACTATAATCACTATTATGGCATACTATTGGCAAATTTGGCTCGAGCGAACTTTTCCCGCTCGACCACGACCATCCGTGAAGGTTGTTAGCGAGAAATTCGGGGACGACGAGAGCAGAGAAGAGGAAGTCGTAAAAAAATGGATTGCTCAAGGTAAAATTCGCCGTGCGTCTTTGAGTTGGTGGAATACCTTCGTCAAGTGGGCACTGGATATGGTTGTGGGTGGGCTGTGGATGACGACAGTCTATATCCTGCTAGGAGGTCTACTGAAGATGGACACAAGTCCAAAGGCGCTATTCAAGGGGCTGAAATGGGTAAGACTCTCGATCCCCTCAGAAAAGTATAATCAAGGCTAATGTCGCAAAAGAATGTGCTGCTGACTTGGGGAGCTTCGCTATTCGGCTCCAGACCGTTAGCATCGCTGGTCGCATTCATCATCGTTCCAGCTCAAAAGCGTACGGTCTTTGTGGCTGGGATGGATCTTGCATTTTGGACGTTCATTGGCTTTTTTGCCAATCTCGTTGTCCCCTGGTTCGCGAACACAGAATTTGCTCAGATGATTGTTGGTAACATCACAGAAGGGTTGAAGAATGGAACGGCCGCTGCCACCCCTAGATTCGGCGATGAACTGTAATATAGGTTATTATTCACTTGAACTTCGTTTGCAGATTTTGGACTTACAAGAAAACTTCGATATTCATATCATATACAATGTACGGCGCAACACTAGCCAGCTTCTCCTTGGTCTCCTCTAACTCCCTTTCTGGCTCTGACTGCACAATAATTCCTGCACCAGCTTGGATCCACTACTTCTAGTCAGTACAAATCGACATTTTCTTTCCTAGAATTTCATATATAGAAGTTGGGTCACGGGGAAGCGGGAGTCTCACCTGGTGAGAAGAGTCTTGAAAGACGGTTCGGAGACACAACGTTCCCTCAAAGTCATCACTCTCTTCCAAAAGCAAGATTGCGCCAGAATAAAGTTCTCTAGGACGTTCCTCGATTCGCTCGATGACTTGCAAGGCCGTATCCTTCGGAATTCCAGACGCCGTGATGGACGGAAACAAGACATTGAGAGCGTTACATGAACCGCCGTTGAGGGAATTTGAAAGGTGGCCAGTCACTGTAGATGCTAAGTGTTGAATAGGCCCTCGCTCCTTGATACACACTTTAGGAAGTCAAAACAGGATTTGCTATCTGTATCATGAAGTGAAGGAGATGAACGGGAGTGCGATATAGCGGGTACAACAAGGGAGTTTACAACTTACTTAGCTCCTCAACGACAACCGTGTCCTGGACGCAAATCTGATCGAGCTCTTTGATGGCTTCTTTGACCGACAGGACATGTTCAAGAATTTCCTTCTGGTCGTTGATCAACTCCTTCCCACGGATTTCGATTTCATGCTTGGTTCCCACTCGAGAGCGAGTTCCAGCGAGCGGCTCCGTGATTACCTTACCGTCATGGACAGCTACGACCAATTCCGGACTGAAGCCGGTGGCTTGGAATCCGGCGTGGTTCATCGTGAACGTCCTTGCGGGAGTGTTTGCCCGACGGCCATGGAGCATCGTAGCAAGCATGTCGACCCTCTTCGGGACTTCGATGGCCCGGGACAAGATGACCTTGGTGTACAGCCTAGATTTGATTTCTGTGATAGCCTGGGCGACTTGCTGCATATATTCTTCTGCTTTCCCCTGCGTATTGACAGGAGTCGGATCTGCTGTGCCTGATTCCAATGTCAGCCTTTTGCTCCGAGGAGGGATTTTATGGTCCTGCTACGAAGAGACTTTCATGACATGGTATCCTAGTAAACATTCTGTCGCCGCATGAATGTGTACTGCTCTGAACAAGTGAAGGGACTCACCTCTCACTTGACGAGTGAGTGTGCGGTCAAGAAAGTGCATCACCTGGGTTGCCTGCTGCTCGTTGTACGACTTTAAGACGATCTGGCCGGGTTCGAAAGTTACTTCGGTGATGGGCACCATGAGACTCATAATTGGCCATTTGCCTGGTAAGTATGCTTGTCCTCGGACATGCTGGCCGTAGTTGAATCCAACTTGGCCAAACATTTTCCCTTCGTGACCTGAAAACTCGGCACGGAACTCCTGTGCAATATCTGCCAATGGTCCAACGACAGGGAAGTTTTCTTGACCACCGACTTTACACATCGTTGCTGTCTTTCCAGCAGCATCGATACTCAGGGAAGCATGATTGCCAAGCCCAAGGTGCCAAATCCCACCACGCTCCTGGAATCCATAGTCAGCTCTCTTTTCTGTGAAATGTTGGTGCAAGGAGTAAGTAGAGTGTTATTTTGAAAAATGACACATAGAGACATAGTCATATTTGCACTCGCACTACGAAGAAGCAGATGTAACCAAAGTGTTGAACTCTCTTCTTCGACGATACCAAAATCAAAACTTGATTATATCAACGAGGACATATGGCAATGGCTTCTCAAGAAGACCAATATGTTCTAGGCAGAGGACTATCCGAGTCAATCCAGTCAGTTTCGTTATTCCAATACAGTCCAATTTACTAGACTGTGAGCCTGCGTACTCTTGGTACAAACACTAACTTCATGGCAGATTAGATGCACAACATCTACTATGGAAGATGTATCTCTCAGGATATATCCTCCATCCTCAAATCCCCATTACTGACGGGATGAAGATAGCTGAGATTGGAACAGGAACCGGGTAAGCTTTATCCCGCTGTTGTAGAGCTTATACTGATTGTGTAGGATCTGGGTGTTCGATGCTGCACGTTCCCTTCCATCAACAGTGCAGTTGCATGGCTACGACATCTGCAACGCCCAATACCCTGTCAAAGAGCTCTGGCTATCAAACGTCAGCCTGGGACTCTTAGACTCGTTATCAGATCCTCCTTCTGAACTCGTCGGACAATATGATGTCGTCCATCTTCGTATGTGGGCAAGTAACCTCCGTGAGAATAACACAACTCCACTAATTCAGCACATGAAGAAACTTCTAAGTATGTTTGGTCCATGTTGCTTTGTAATTTGTATCTCCGTTCCAACTGACAATAACAGAGCCGGGAGGATATGTCCAATGGGAAGATGCAGACTTGATTAATCAAGAAATCAAAGGTGAGGACGCCGAACAGTTCGCTGTTATGATGAGAGAAATTCTCAAGCAGGCGGGACTTCAGTATGAGTGAGTACCTCAAACGAAAAAGTAAATGCGGCGACTGTACTAACAATACAATAAGATGGGTCTCTGATCTTCCAAATCGCTTTCCACTTCAAGGGTTCAACGTCATCGAGGCAGGACATACGAAATTTGAGTATGATCTGAAGCAACTTTGTACGAGCACTTATCTCATGGCACTTGCGGAAATTCTTCAAGGCATCGAACGCAATTCTGCGGGAAGACAGTCCATATCGGTACAGGAGCATGTAAAAGCACTGTATCGTCTCTTTCCTCAGAGTCGGAATGGGATGATTTACAATTGGAACCCCGTCACCGTGTTGGCACAGAAGGTCGAGTAGATTTTGTTTCCTTGACACATCAGCTATGAATCGTGGCATATGATGATGATGGAGAGAATAGATAGATAGATAAAAAGAGCACAATACATGAAATTTCTGTACGTGGCTTGACAAGGCGGTTCCCTGTCTCTCAATGCATGTGCCCGTATTCTGATCCGGTTTCGACGAAACTTCATATGGCCGATGGAGGCCAAGTTTCCAGTCTCCCACTCAGTTCTGAGCCCCGATGGCTGAATCGCTTACCTAGGTAGGTAGCCCCTTTTTATGTTGAACCATCACCACGGTTAACCACGGCCACGCTATTTATTCCCAGCCCAATATCGGTCCCAAAACTCAAACTCAAACACTCAATCAAGTAGGACAATGCAACAGCAAAACATTTTGCGTGTAGAACCATCATCACCGGGATGCGTGCGCCCATGTAGCTGAATGATGTCGTGTCTGATGTGGGATGCGGCGTACAGTACTGTACAGTACCTCTGTACAGTACACGACGATCTTTCCCGGATCATGATGATGATGGGAATCTTCAATACAGTAATCGAGAATCAGCCATCATCAATCAATCAACCCCTGATCTGCCTGCATGCCTGCCATCTCACTCAGCACTCAGCAGCACAGCACAGCACAGCCCAAGACTGCGGGTTGAACAGTGCGCGCCGAAGGAGGGGCGAAGGCTGGATGAAGTAAACCAACCTATCTCCTGTCACTTATTGTTTAATTCTCACAACCCTTTTTTTTCTTTCCCTTTTTCTCCCTCACCAAATAAAATCAAATCGGAATCGTCCCCCTCATCCTCCGGCCAATCGAAGTTACTACTGTATTTATTTGCTTGGACTGTGATACTCGGTAATCGAGGCTATCGATGTTCTCCTGACACTACCATACAGTAGGCCTCGCCCCAGGATGAATGGTGTGAGGTCCACCCGCAATGCCTGCCGCGGCCCGGGAAGGAGAAATAATGGGAATGATGGAGCGCGATATCTCTTAACCATCACATTATTATCATCTGCTGCATGCGGATCCAGGGACTCACTCTTTTATTATCGAACCCAGTCATGCGTTCGTTGTCGCATTGTCCTTCTTCTTTGTGCTTTTTTCTTCCCTTAGCTCCCTTTTAAACTCTACGACGCCCAAACGCGCAAAGTATATTGGCATCCGCATCGACATCGACGATTGTCGGAATAGCTGCCTGACCTCCATCTTTTCCTCCTCCATTCTCTTTGCGACAGAATTCTTCTCTTCCTCTATCCCTATATTCCTACTGGCACAACATGAGATTGTAATACAATGCCTAGCATATTCATTAATCCCACGCCTTTACTCTCCAAGGTTGAAGGACCCCATTCCCTCTCAGAACGAGGTACGTCTGCGCTCCTCAAGACCAGTGCGCATTTACTAATGTTTGCTACAGTCAACATTGCAACACGTTCCCTCCATACCCAATTGAACAGGCTCATCCTCCTACGACTGCCCTTGGCTCTTCCTCCTAGGACAACGAATCCCTCCAAATACGTTTCCGGACTTCTTTTTATTGCGCCTATCTACATCACATTCGAGTCAATATGGCAGTCAGTTCTTGATAGTCCATGTGAAGAAGAGGAGGCCAAGCAGAGTCTGAACGGAATCTCGGATGCCCGAAGTCCAACGTCAGAACAAGGAACAAACCCGGCCACATCAAGCCCGTACATACTTCCTCGAAAGACTTGCTCTAGGTTATATTGCTTGCTCTCTGACCTTCAACTTCCTGGTCTACCACGGGCGGAAACACTACGAACAGATATTAGGGTCCTGACAGGTACACCCCGGTACAAGGTTCAAGAGCAGCTCTCCGCCGTCTCGCAGCATGGCCGACTCGCGGAGTTCTTGTCACATACCAAGAATTCAGTTGATGCCAACCCTCACGTTCTTCTAGCATATGCATGGGTTCTCTACATGGCTCTGTTTTCCGGGGGACGGCATCTGCGGGCAGAACTGAAGAAAGCGGGTGGGATTGGACTTGATTTCTGGAATCGAGAACTGTCACCCGTTCGACCTTACTCGATAACACAGGAACGATCACGAAGACATGAATCGAAATCCACAACCTGTGATTCCGAGAGGATACCTCGCCTCCCCCGCTCCAGATCACGGTCAGAAAGCGCGGCTTCTACTATGGTACCTGGAATGCAATTCTTCAACTTCCCCGGATCTGAAGATGGTGAGGATATAAAGCGAGAATTCAAGGCCCGCTACGCCGAAGCAGAGTCACATCTCACAGAAGCCGAGAAAGAAGACATTGTGTCCGAAGCACAGTATATATTCAAATTCATGCTAGACTTAATTGCCGACCTGGACCTCATTATGCAGACTCGCGAGGAGGAGCTCGAAACGGAACGGTTGTTGGACAACTCGAGGCCCTTGGTGGCCAGTCGAGATAGCGTTGCCGTGACTCACGAACGGCTGTCGAGAAGGAGGACCAGTGATACCAAAATAATGGAGCTGCCACGAAAGGCTAGCTATCTGGACGTCTTTGTAAATCAACCTATCGCAAAGCTTACACAATTCAGAGGTGCTGTTGCAACCTGGGATCTAGTCATGAAGCCTCTTGGACGACGATTCTCGACAGACGGTCCATCGCCACAGGTGTCTTTTTCGTCCGAATCAGAGAAAGATGGACAAACGTCGCCTAGTTTCACAACTGAGCATTATTTGGTCATGTTGGTAGTCATGGTGTCGGTGTCTACTGTACTTTTGGCGTATTATTATGCATCTTCATAAGGGCATTGCGTACGGGATAAACATGGAGTTTTGGAGTTGCCCGACTTTCTGGATAAGATGGTCGGCCTGCGGTTATGGATGATGTAGGCCAGGTTTTGGGCCTTTGGAATAGAATAGAATGGGTGGCGAATAATGCATACATCCGACTGAAATATTCACATCGTGCAAGGTTGTGACTTTCCTGATACTCACGAGTCAAGAAGGAGGGTGATAGTACACCGGTTTGCTCCAACGTCGTCTTCTGAGGGTATTCAGACCCCGACATATCCTAAGAAGAAGTCCTCCGGGGAGGGGAAGGATTCACGGTACATCCTCGTCAGAATTCTACGTAGCAAGCAAGATGTGAATGTGGGGCTGGCAGGGCTCCGGTATAGTAGGGCCATGAGTACAATTCCAATGAGGGACAACCTCAATTTGTTGCAATATCAAGTTCAACAATCAGGTTAAGTTTTGTAAATAATTCCAGGGACAGTGACCTGACTTTAGATCACTATGAATGCTCTCCAGAGAGAGGACAATACAGCAGAGATGTTTTGAAAAGGACCACAGTAAGAGAATGCGAATTCAAAATAGGGTTACTTTGTTGGAATTCCAGGTGGCCCAGGAATACTTTAGGTACTGTGACCTTTCGAGTATACGAAAATGTTCCAGAGAGAAAGGAGCAGTCGAAGGATACTGCGAAGAACATAAGGATAGATGAGATTAAAGCTCGACCTTGTCACATTCACATATCATTGATGGTCACTGGGGATTGTGATATTGTCAAGACACGCATATTTATTTGCAATATTGATCGCCTCGTTATGGAAATCAAAGATTAAACTCTGCTTTCCACCAGAGTTGCAAAACCATTACAAGATCCTGTACTCTCAATATCCGACACCGGGGCAGGCTTGTCATCGTCAAAATTGTCCGGGATATCATCAATGAAGCAGTCATCCCATTGAGCCCATTGCTCGGAGCCGACACTTTCACGCATGTATCCATGTCTTTGGCTGGCTCGGACATCATTCAGGGGAATTGTCGATGTGTTAGAGCCGAGATGGCGAAAGGTCGAACGGATAGATAGAAAGATTAATCTCAGAGCCGGGAAACTGAATGAGATAATGAAGATGGTAAGTTGAGCCATCGTCAGAACCAGGGGTGTTACAGCGTTGTCTGTTAAGGAATAAGCGCAATCCATAACAAGTTGGGGACCATGTAGTCAATGCACTCACAGGTGAGGTCCGCCCCAAACAGTCCGTCTAGCATGGAGATGCGAGCAATACCAAAGCAACAAGCCAGCAGCTGAAAGAAAAAAAGTCCGATAATGAAAGCCTTTCGACTCGCCGCGATGCGCAGCTTCCAAACGAAGTAGATCGGAACAGGTACCACGACAGCATCGAGAATTATGTTGGCTATACTAGTGCTCAGATATATCAACTTGGGTGACCAAAATCTCTGACGCGTCACGGCGATATCCCAGGATGCCTCGATAGGCCAAATGCCTCCGAATGAAAGGAACCCCGACAGAACAAGAACGGCTGCAGTCGCACCCATGTGCCAGTAAATAAATCTCTGGAATGAACGGTTGTTAAAGCCAAACATTGACAAGAGGAGGCGGTCGTTGCTGAACTTTTGCAAGGTGACAGATAACGTGTAAGCTGTGTCGCAACCATATAGGTACTTCATAGTGGTCGCAAAATTCGACAAGAATTGTTGCAATTTCATCGTCAAAATTGGATCGAGCGTGTGGGCATTAGCGGCGACCCAAGTCATCAACTCCGTATTCTTGTCGTCGACTTGGCTTGCTGCGATTATGGTTTGAGTGAACAGAACCAACTCTTTAGTCAAACCTTCGTCACATAGATGCTGGCCAAGACCGTGATTTCTGGCAACGATGAAAAGGGAAATGGCGACGACAGCCGCGCAGACGGCAAGAAAATTAAGCACTATGTCAAATAAGTACTAAGCTTTGTTGATGTACATGTTTAGAGGGCGAAGCTTACATTCTCCGATCCATACTGACACGACCTTGCCTTCTTCAGTACGTCGACTCTTGGAGGGGGACTTGGGCTTTATCTCCCAGACCAATCTTCCCGAACGACATATGGAGAAGGCTAGGAGCAAGCTCAGCAAGACCGCACCGACAACCTCAATGTGGCGGGACTTGGAAGGTCCACCTCCACAAGTGTCTGGATACATGAGAATGGATTGCAGGTAGCTAGTACCAGACATGTTGCTCGTAGTAATCTGGCGACAACTAAAGGTTTGGTAGAGGAAAGGAGCTGTAGAATTGAGAGATCTCGCTGAGCAGTACTGCAAGAGGCTCAATATGCAGAAGTGCGGTCAGCTTTTAGTAGCTCTTGAATGCGGTCGTATGGCTGCGAGCAAGGCAGATGCGGAAAAGTTGTCAACAGATGATCTGTGAGAGAAGTTTCGAGGTTCAGATACAGATCGTATGAGTGTAGAGGTCGTGATTCCCGAAAGATAATCCCCAGAGTCCAGTACAAATTGTAGAAGGTGCTTGCAGATATCGCGACCGATCTTGGAGGGTGCTGTTCGAGAGTGTGTGAGAGACTGTTGATGGATTTCGAAAACGCGGAACGCGAAGCGAGCGGTAGTGGTTGAGATTGGCCGAACCTCGGATAACAACAAGAATAAGAAGATCTCGAGAATGGGAAGATAATGAAGCCTACGAATCCAACGAGAGATAGAAGGAAATCTCCTTTCGAAAGTCGTAATGTTCTTTCCTTTTTGAAAGCCCTATCTGAGAAGTCACAGCCCGAAGCGAGCCGCCCCTTTCGAAACCACGAAGCGAGCAAATTCAGAAGGAACCACGGTGCAAACAATCCAACGTTTAACACCCAGAGACTGCATTCTAATCTCTTTTTGAACTCCGCGCAGAAGAAATGATTCGGCTACAATCAGAATCGACCTCTCCACGGGATGGAAGAAGAAGTTTGGTGTATCTATCCGAATTTGGTCTGCAATCCGTGCTTGAAAATATTTACTGACGGTTTCAACAGTCGATATCAAGAGACGATTGTATTGAACGCGTTCTATATCCCCCCTCAATCTAAACGGTGTACAAGGTGATGGGCATCGGAGATGACGGCAAACTGGACCCAATTCAAGTAGTTTGCTATTCTGGGATGCAATGACCCACGCCCGAACGCAGGCAGCTAGGATTCGTCATACAGGATAGACTGCGTCTGGCTGGGGTTGAGCCTCGCCCTCTTCTCGAGTTTCGTGGTTGATGAACAGAAAGGACAAAAGAACGACGCAAGCTCCCACCCAGTAGGTAGCGCTGGAATACTGGGCGCTCAACAGCATCTGTCCAATCAAGGACAATGGTATAGTCATTGAAATGCCAACTGTCACGACCAACGGGGTGGTAAGCAAAAGAGCGTATGCCTAGAGGATCTCCAAGTCAGCAACACTATTCGGATAGGTTTGAATGTCGACCATGTTGTGCTAGAAGGGAGCAAGCATGCAGAATGTTCGTAAAGAGCACCCAACTTACCCAAGCAAAGTCGCTGACGAGGGATATCACAGCGTTCACCTGTACGATGTTAGTCGACCGAAGAAGCACGGGGGATGAATGCTTACGAGCACAATCGTCCACACCTTTCCGGTGGGAGGTAACGCAAATGACTCCACGCCACTGAAATGGAGGATGAATAATCCTGGCCACAAGAATACGAGGTTGAAAAACCCCACCAGGCCAAAGAACAGAGGCATGTTCACACGATCCTCATTGCCGACCTTTTTCTTCATGACGACGATATATACACCATAAACGACAGCACTTGCGAATGCCACTACATGTAAAGATTCTGGTCAGCATATGTTGTGTGAGATCAATAGCTCAGAAGAGCATCGCTTGGGAAGAAAGACAAGGTGGATACGCGAGACTGTAGGAGATGGCAACTTACTCGCATCGCCAAGTGCTATCTCACGCTTGGTCTTATGGGGGAAATTCCCACGATTCTCGTCATTGTTTTCGCTTGATAGGTCGACGGAGGAGATCAGAATGATGCCAATCAGCGATGCGAACACTCCAATCAGCTTTCTGTACGAGAAGTGTTCCACTCGGGCGAAAGCTCCGAAGATTAAGGTCCAAATGCTGCTTGTCGAAGTCAAGATGGTTGAGCTCGCAACACTTGTATATTCCAGGCAAGCCGACACCAAATAATTCGCTGCAAACCACAGCAGACAGAATTCCAAACTGAGTGTAGCTGTCTCCTGAAGGCTCAACATCCCCTCTTGAGCTCCGACATCACTAGAAGCGCCATGCATCGACGCTGGCTCGTCATCAACCAAGAGACGGGTCTGGCTAGCAGACATGGGATCCTCTAGGTCATCCTCTGTATCTTCCGACTTTGTCTTCACGCCTCGATAGTGGCCAACCCTACTTCGCCAGAATTCCACCGCCGATGTCTGAACATGTGCAAAACCATGTTCGTAGGATAATCGAATCAATATGGGAATCAAGGATATAGCAAAAGTCGCCGTGTTCACATAGGTGACAAAGTATGGTTTCGAGTATGTATTGTCTGCGAAGATGTACTACTTGAATCAGTAACCACGGGACAAGCCAGGCGCATTGAAGCTTACACTTGACAAAAAGTTCGAGGCAGTCCATAATACAACGGTGGTCAAGAGAAGTATGATGCCCAAAGTTCGGCGAGCAACATTCTCCAAACCCGCAGAGGCCCGAAAACCCTTGGGCTTCACACTCGATTGCAACGGTGGGATCGAGTATCTGTCATGGTGTTCTGATGGGTTTTGACCAGCTGGTGGATAATTATCTGCCATTTTGGAAGGAAAGAGAGAGCTTGGAGCACTCCTTGTACACTCTTCGATCCCACTTTATGCTTATTATCTTATCGGAGTTTGGACGGTACGGCGTAGGTCTGACAGTCCAGAGCTTTCAGCGGAAAGTGAATGCTGAGAGATGGACTCGCAATGAGCAAGAACGGAAGGCAGAGAGGTATTGCTCAGAATAGCTTGGCATAATGGTGCTGCTGTCTGTCCAAGAAATGTATAGACGATGGAGCTGTCACAGATCGCGTATTCGGCGGGTTGATGAATTACGCGACGGAAGATAAAGTGGTGGCCGTGCGTTTAGGGGTCCGGGTTAATCACACACCTGCGATAACGCTTGTCCTGATTGGGCATGCAGATCCGAAAACCCGATGTGTGGCTGAGATTGGAATCTTCAGCGCTCTCAAACAACGCTGGTTGAAAGGCTAGTCAATGAAATGATCTCCTGTACAAACGTTTGGTACGTCTCTGTTGTCTGATTTACATGTTTGGAAAGGTTTGTCCACTTACCTCGCTTGAAAAGGGGCATCGTCTTCAATACAGTTCGGTCCCATGTACTGCACCATTCACCATAATGCCCAAGATCCGAGAACATTCAGAACATTCAGAACATTCAGAACATTCAGAACATTCAGAACATTCAGAACATTCAGAACATTCAGAACATTCAGAACATTCAGAACATTCTGAAAGAGGTACAGTAAGTGAAGAAGTCTTGTCTTATGCTGTAGGATGGAATATTTCGTCTCTGAGAGTTGTTTCCAAGGAAAGAATTTGCCTTGTATGAGATGCCGTTATACTCGGCTATGCTGTCGCTCCTGCCGAATAAGCAAGAGAGAAGAAGCTTACACTGTGTCGAGCAGATTTTGTGTTGAAAGTGTCTGCCGAAAACTTGGTCGTTTCCTATCGTTTGTCAATCTATCTTTTCTGCCAATGAAGTAATTCGAAAGTTGTACAGGAATACAACAAATAATGCCTGAAGCTTCCACGAAGGACAGAGTCAACAAGTAGTTGGCATTGCACAACAACCCGCAAACGAGCTGGTAGTGATGTCCAGTCAGTCAGCTTGTTGCTCATATTGATTGCTCATTTCCTCAACTCTCAATTTAAGCGATGTAAAGGATGGCGCTGCTTAGGTTGTGTTTTGTCTAGGAGTAGTCTTTTCTGTTGAGACAGAAAACATCTACAGGGGACAATGATTGCCTCGTAGAAGCCGTAGCCTTTACCTTTGCTCCATTGATTCTCGCTTGCAGAAGAGGCAAGAGCGAAAAGAAGAGACGGGAGCCACCAAGACGGCTATCTTGGTTCGACAAGTCCTTCAAGGTGAAGTCTCGCGCTCGCTCCTGGCAAGAGCCGTCTGGAAAAGCATCCTATTACGAATCAAATAGGATCTTGATTCAAACCGCTTATTGTCTGCATGAGTTTAAATATGACTAGAAAGGAGCTTACATGCCTCAGCGTGGAGTCCTTGCTTGTATGAACAGATAATCGTGTAGGAAAATGTTCATGTTGAGCGACAGTCTCGATCGGGTACTCTCCCCCTTTTTAACCCTAAGCGAACATTGCTGCTCTGCAACAGAGGAAGGAAGCTGGGACTAGTGTGAGCCTTGGGTGTGCAGGTTCGAGTTGCAAAAAGGAGACATTAAGGGGCCTTAGCGAGAAGGGTCGGCAGAGATCAGAGACTATATTTCTCTATCAAAAATCATGACCAATACATTTGACCATGTCAGCACTTAACGCTCAGCAAGTCTTTGGATCGAGTTGATAGGAGTCCCCCACAATATTTTTAGCATTGCCTGAGTTGTTGAACATCCCACCTTGACTCTGTAACACTCCATCCCAAGTACCCTGTTTAATTGTCTTCTAAGATATTATTCTGGAATAGGCGACTAGGCTTTATAAAAGAGATAATTCCCCTCAGCCCCTCTTAAGTGAAATCATCGGATAAGGTATGGCAGGTTACCCCAAGCCCTAAGCTCTTGCTCTTTCTCTTACTCCTGCTCTTTAAATATATCTCAGAGTTAAACAACTTCATTGAGTATAGCGTATTACCTTCTAAATTAAACATAGTCCCCCAGCAGACTTTTTACCTTCATTTAATTATAAGATAATATTTCAGAAGACAATTAATACGGTATCGAATTCTTCAATGTGAGTTGGGACATTCGCACCAGCAAGGCTTGGGTTTGAAAAATATTGCTAAAGAATTAGAGATAGTAAAAGGGAATCCTACGATGCATTCACAATGCAAAAGCTAGACTCTGTGGATGATCCTGGAATGATCTAATGGTATTTGTAGATGCAACAACATGACTGTCAAGAGTCTTGGGATCACATAGACATACCATCGAGTTCAGTACGGCGCACGGAAAAGAATACCTCAGTGTGTACCGATGATGAAATTATGCATTCTGTATCAACAAGGAGAAGCAGACACCAAAGCGCCATAAAAAGAATCCTTATGTACACGTGTACGCACCTTTGGCCATCCAAACGATGCGAGATGACCCAGGGTATAGAAAGGACAGAGGGATATAGCTCGCTCCGAGAAATCGAATCTGTAACCTCTCTTGGATCTAGCATGCGCACCCATCTCTATCGTTCTCGATGTGAATGTTGATCGGGTCTGAGAAGTCTCCACTGAACTCTTCGGATTCTTCTTGGGCGAGAGCATTTCTAGCGATTACTGGTCGTATGATGTTAGTGAGATGCTCACGTTAGCTAAGATAGAGCAACTGACCCTCGAACGCCTGTTCCACATTGATAGCTTCCTTTGCACTGGTTTCAAAATATGGAATGCCTCCCTTGGATTGGCAGAAGGTCATAGCTCTCTTCGAAGATATCTATAGCTAGTGAGCAGACAGTAGATGTAGAGGAAGCACTGTAGCTTACCACCCTTTTGTTCTCCTCCACATCAATCTTGTTGCCCAGTACCACCTACACATATGTTAGCACGATCCCTGCAGCCTTCTAAAAACCATCCACGTACAAATGGGAAGCTGTCTGGATCTCTTGGCGAAGCTTGAATCAAGAACTCGTCCCTCCAGCTATCGAGGGTATCGAAACTCTTTGAATTGTTGACATCATAGACCAACACGCAACAGTCGGCTCCTCTGTAGAACGCCACACCTAATGACTGGAATCTCTCTTGTCCTGCGGTATCCCAAAGCTAGAACTCATCAATATACTATTGTATATGCTCATATGTGTAACATCGTACCTGCATCGTCACTAAACGGTCGTCTACCAGGACCTCCTTGGTCAGGAAATCTGCACCGATCGTGGCCTTGTAGCTAGCACTGAACTTCTTGTTGACCTTGCCGAATGTCAGCATGGCTGCATAGAGTGGAGCAGTGCTTCCGCTGAGAGAGGCGGGACGTACATATTGATTCATCAAACTCGTCTTGCCCACGCCGCTGTCCCCAAGGATAATGACCTAGTTGAGCATTGGTCAGTACACTTCTCCAAAAGCTTCTATGCCGTCTGCCCAGACACCGGGTGCGGGTGCTATCGAACCTTGAGGAGAACCTTCTTTCGGGAAGCCATCACGAGGGCTGCGTTCGAGGTTGGATATGCGCGATAACGCCCTCAAATACGGGCAGAGATGAGGAAGGTCAGTGAGCTCGAGACCGTAGCGAACGACGATAAATAATCAGGCTCCTCGAAGACTCTGTATCCTGTTTGTATCGTTGGTAGTTCTGGAAGTAATATTGTGTTGATGTCTCGGTCTTGCTGTTGCTGTACGGTAGGATAGCTTAAAACGGGCGCCCGCAATACGCTAGCAGCCGAGCTTCAGCCTATCACTGACAGTTCGCATCCTGCAGCCTTGGAGCATCGTCACATTCACAGCCTTTGCGACAATTTACGCATAACTGGAGCCTTACGAGACATGCGGCTATTCACGTCCACCTGGACATTTCACAGTTCAGAAAATGGCTTCGTGGCGCGATGAGTATGTTCAGGCTCTGCAGGAGAGGGACCAACGGGAACGGGCAAGCTATCAAAGACTAGACGATGATCTGATAGCAGCTTGTATGGACATGCGCTGCTACTTCTCCCTTGTATTTCACTAATCATTTCTAGATACAAATCTCCTTGATCGCGCCACTGCCCTCGAAGCAGAGAAAGCTGCCAATACCTCCTCAGTCGAAACTACCAAAGCCCGAGAGTCGACGTCCACTCCAAACCCGAACGATGGCTCAGCGCAACTCAGAAAGGACCTTGCGGAAGCCTTGCGCTCCAACGGTCAATTACAATCACGGGTCAAGGTTGCCGAGGCAGAGCTTGTCAAGTTGAAGGCCAAGAGCAAGACGGACTCGAGGCTGATAGACGATCTTTCCAAAGAGCGGGGTTATCTTAGCCAAAAACTCAAGGATAGAGACGAGGAATCGCGGGGCAAGACCAAGCTTTTGGATGTATGCATATCACACTGGAACTTTGGGATATTCTGCTGACATAATGAAGGATGTTCATGACGAAGTCATCTCTCTCAACTTACAGCTCAATATGTCTGAACAACGAAATAAGGATCTCAGATCCGAGAATAAAGAACTGATCGACCGATGGATGGCTCGGAAAGGTCACGAAGCGGAAGAGATGAATAGAACACTACAAGATCAACTCGATAGACGATAGAACTTGGCCCATCATAAAGTCAATACTTTGTCATTCATCCGTGACTTCATTCCGAACAGTACGCTACAGTACAAACGCTTCACCATACCCTACAACACCTATGGATGCATCCAAGCTACCATGCAAAAAAACAATACGCTAGTCAGGATATCGATGGAACGACCGAGGTCCAAATCAATGCTGGTCTGCCCATTTCTTCAACCGCTTCTCGTCCTTGGTTGCAATGAAATAAGTACCTCCTGCATCAGTCCAACTGACACTCTCACTGTAATACTCCCCTTTCTGAACCGAAAGAAGGTTCACCGGGTTACCAAGATTACGAGATGTAATCTTATAGCCATCGGGGACGAAGGACTTCAACGACACAATCTTGCAGCCATCCTTCAGATCCAAGAACAGCTGGACGAGTTTTTGGTTTAGGTCTGGCGTGAAGGCTTGGTTATTGACCAATATAACGTCAGCTTTCTTCATGGCCTCGTGTATTGCCTGGCTCTCAAGGAAATCCCCTCGTTCGAGATGTACTTCGCCAGGCTGTATGCCCCATAATCGACATCGAGCGTTAAACTCGCTTGCCTGCGCATCCGCGAGATCTGTGGCGTTCTTCATCATCTCACAACCCCAACTCTCGCACCCGAATTCTAGGGCAGCTTGCAGGACGACATTGCCAACCCCGGAACCAAGATCTACAAAGACTTGGTCTGACTTGAGACCCGTCTTTGAAAGAGCCTCGGAGATGAAATTGGGCAATAGCTCTCCATACACGTTGTCCGTCCCGTTTTCGTACTGCTTTAATAGGTCAACCCGGGGCGAGACGGCGCGATCGTATACCTGTCGGAGCATGCAGCGAATCATGTTCAGAGGCAGGTGATGTCGATTGTCAAGGTTTTTGGTAATAGCGCCTTCCTTAATGAGGTTGGTGATTGATTTGTTGTAGGTGTCAACAGCAGACTTGAAATTCTCCAACAGATCTGGGTTAGTGGGCTCTTTCTTCAAGATGTTTCTGGCTTTCACAAGCTGGCGTAGAATTCCTGAGTTTGGTTCGTCGAAAGCAATTGCTTGGTCTGGTGTCAGGTAGACCTCAGTGACGATTTTGGCAATAGCAAGAATCTCTTTGCAAGGGTCGATTAGGTCTCGTCCGAAAACAAGATTGTAACTGTAAAGAATATGTTAGCTTCTGCTTATTTTATAGTAGACTACAACATTGTTTACCTCTCCTGCTGAGACGAGCTGGGATACTGTAGCTTGACAGTGACATGCTCCGTGACGGGTTCCGAATTCTTGTTCCTCTTTCCTACAAAAGAGATGTTTGCCGCGTGGATCATGTCAAAGACCCCGCCATCCTCTTCGGAGAAAGCTTGCTTTTGACGCAGTTGTCTCTTTGAGTCAATAGAACCAGCTAGCTTCTGCTTCTTCCGCGCATGATTGTCGTCGGTGTCCTCCTCATCCTCGTCACCATCGCTTCCAAAATTGACACGGTCTTGCTTCGCAGGCGATGTTCGACGTGCTCTGCGCTTTGGAGCTCGAAGTCGTGACGAGTCTGCGGTGTCAACAGAGGGCGTTCCGGGACTTGATCTGGGCGTCGAAGGCGATTCTCCCGCAGGTGATGCCGTCGCTCGATGTGTCTGGGTCGTTTGAGAATGCTGGCGAACAGCAGAAGGTCGAGGCTCTGGTCCCTTTGGGTCTGCGACTCGTACCGTTCGCACGACGGCCTGCACCCGCTTAATGTTTGACTTTCCCCCGAATAAATTCATACTGGCGCAAAGCAAAGAATACCGTATGAAAAGCAACCAGAAAGGTAACGCCTAATAATGCAGATGTTCTCAATGAATGAACGTGGGTGGTGGGAAAAATCTTGTATGGTCGGGGTGATCGCCGCCTTGTTGATCGCGACAAAAAGTATAGCCTCGCTCCTGCAGTAGCGTGATCCGACATTGTGGGACGTCACGCGCTCTGCTTTCGGGAGGATTTCGGACACCCCCTTTAGTTTGACATTTGAGCTTGTTTTTTTATGCGGAATCCATACTTGTTTAGATTGAAGGATCAAAAATTGAGGCTCATCAACAACTCTTCCCATTGACAGGATAATGTCCCGTGACAATATGTCTCATGTAGCCAGAAAGACTTTAAATGTATGGAGTGTTTTCAAAGCACACACAACTCATTTAGTACTACTGGATAAGCATCAAACATTTTCTTTTCTAATTGTTCGTGCCTATATACTCATAATCATTATCAAACCCCAACAATGCCAGTTAAAGCCGCCCATATCTACTTCCATCTCATCGTATTCACCCTCTAACTAGCAATATAAGTACTCAACCTATTCCCTGCTCCACAAAACTCTAAACTATTCCCTGGACAGAGGAAACTACAATCACTCTCCGTAGCATTCACACTACCAGCTTCAAACACATATCCACAATAACATTCCCCTCCGTACTCAACACCAAAATAGGTGTAGCCTTGGCAATCAGCTGCACAGATCTCGAGCGTCATCGTGTTGTAGTTCACAACTTCTGCTCCGGTCAAGGCACGGGAGTTAGTGGCTTCGGTGCGGCAGCCGTTGTAAGTCCAGCCGCCTCCAGCACTGATCGTTGGTTTAATGACTGGGCCTGTAGGGGACGTCGATGCGGTGGTGGACGTAGATGATAGTTTCGAGGACGTGGTGCTGGAAACTAGGGTTGAGAGTGTGCTTTTGACGGTGGAGCTGGAGACTGCCGTGGAGGATTTCGAGGTCGAAGATTGGACGAGGGTGACGGGCGACACTGTGGTGGTTGTTGTACTTGTAGATTTCAATGAGGTACTCGGAATTGAGCTGATAGAGCTAGCGACGCTGGATCTATGTTTTAAGTTAGCTCAGAACTTTTGCTTTTTCCAATGTTTGAGAATTGTACAGAGATTGGGACAAAGGTCTTGCGTGAACATTGAATATGTTAATTATGCCGAAGACTGAAAGATGCCACAATAGCTTTGTGATCTTCATCTTGCTCGAGTTTACATTTTACACGCTGGCGGTGTTTGTGATACTCGACATGTTCTCGCTGACGCCCGACATTGACAAAATTCCCAATTGCTACAGGCTTTCTGCCGGCAGCTGCCTGGTCGAAAAGGGATAAAATACCTGATGAGACTGAATGAACTTAAATGCTTGCTTACACTTGGCTGGTTGAGGCCGTACTGCTAACCGATGGGGCCGTGCCGTTTCTGATATAGACACTTAATCTGTTTCCAGCGCCACAGTATTCGTATTGGTCACCAGCACACTGCATTGTTTCACAGATTAGCAGACATTCAAAACACGGCCCGACTTAGACTCCCTGTAATAACTTACGGTCATAGAACAATCGCTATCAGGAGCAAGAACAGATCCAGCGCCAAATGAGTCTGCGCACCAACACTCGCGTCCGTATTCGGCTCCAGCATACAAGTATGGAGAACAAGCGGCAACACATAGCTCAATTGTTTGCGTGTCATTTGGGTAGGAAGCTGCGCTCAAGGCTCTCGTATTAGTTGCTTCGGTGTAGCAACCAAAATAGTTGTATAGACCAGCGGATTGAACGATGTGCAGAGTTGGGCGAGCCGACGGACTTGTTGATGAAGTGGTGACTTTCGAGGATGACGAGCTACTACTGCTAGTGGAAGACAGTGTCGATAATGAGCTAAGAACGCTGCTTGATACAATCTGTGATGAAGAGGGCTTGGTTAATAAGGTCGAGCTGACAATCGTGGAAGACTTCAAAGAACTGCTTGACTTTGAAGAGATCACACTCGATGGGCTGACAAGCGTCGAGGACTTCGAAGAACTGGTTGATTTTGAAGAAACAGCACTCGAGGAGCCGACAAGTGGAGAAGACTTTGAAGAATTGATTGAAATCGAAGAAACGACACTCGAGCTGATGATTGCTGAAGCTTTTGAGGAGCTGACACTTGATGAAACCTGCGATGAAGACTTCACTGCTGAGAGCGAGCTGACAACTGTCGAAGCTTTTGAGGAGCTGACTGAGGGTGTAGAAAGCACAGTCGGAGAGTTTGAGCTGGGGCTGACTATCGTAGAAGATGCTGAGGATGTTGCAGGAACGGTTTGACTTACAGATGTCGAGGACGCGATACTCGAAGAGCTGACGGCAGGTGATGATGTCCCAGAAAGCGTAGGACTTGCTGAACTCGAGAGAACGAAACTCGAGGAGCTGACGACTGTCGACGCAGTTGTTGAGGACACAAGACTGCTACTACTGCTCGAAGCAGCAGTAGAAAGCTCGTAAAGTTCAAGCCTGTTCCCTGCCCCACAATATTCGTAGCTATTGCCGGGGCAGATGAACGAACAATCTGACAGAGCGGCAAGAGTCGAACTTGATGCCAACGTGTTCCCACAATAGCACTCTCCGCCGTATTCGACACCGAAATAAGTGTAGCCTGTACAATCAGTCATACATTGCTCGGTTGTCATACCCGTGTAGTTGTAGAATGACGCTGCGCTTAATGCACGAACGCCGGTCCCTTCGGTGTAACAGCCCTGGAAGGAGTAGGCTCCAACAGTTTGTTTGTGACCAAGTGTCGGAGTAGCTGTAGCGGACGAAGATGTAGAGGTCGTCACAACAGAGCTCGTGGAGCTCGATAGCTGTGAGGATGAGCTGGTCGATACAATCGAGCTCGAAGTGCTGCTTGGTGCGCTAGCGCCGAGCGTCGAACATACCGTTCCCAGACCAGAGACATCTTTGAAGGTATCGCTTGAGGATCCACTGACGGCACCGTACTTCGATCCAACAGCTGAAGCAACAGAGTAGCTGCCACTGTATAGAACATAGGGACCAATCGTAGCACCTTGAACCATAGACATGGAGGCATTGACCAGAGACGGAAGTGGAGAAACGATAGGACTTCCGGCTGTGCTCGCAACTTTCTGAGTAACGGTCATGCTGACTGGAGTTGTGACAGCGCTGCGAACCTGCAAGATGTGAGCCAAGGAGGTATATTGTAATAAAATTTGTACTTACGGCAGCCACCACGGTAAGGTTTCCATTCGAATAGCAACTCTGAGGCGTCTGGACAATGACGGAATCTGAGATAGGGAATCCACCTCCATTATTGGTGAAAGTTTGTGTGGAGCCTCCAACAGTATTTACTACAACAGTGAAGGATGAGATCGAAGTCGTCGATGGGATATTCACACTGAAGCCATAAAACTAACCCCTGTTAGCATCGGCTGAGACGTAGGGCTGAGTGGAATATACCGAAAAGCTGTCATCGAAGCCGTTGGCTGTGCCACTCAAAGTTGTGGAGATGGTACCTCCTGTGGCACCATTGCGATCAATGTAATTAAGCTGTACACTGGAAACGGTGCGGGACGTGGTTCTCACACGGATTTCTCCAGAGAAGGTGATTTGCGTGCCACCAGCAAGCAGGGTAAGCTGCAATCCACTGGGCTTAACTTCATATGGTGCAATGATATCTGAGAGAGCCACGGTTGGAGGTACGGTTTCTATCATTCTTTGCAGAATCGAGGTACACATGCTATTGAAGGTTGCCGTATTCGTCATGGCTTGGAGAGTGACATTCTTGTCTGCTGTGAAGACGGCAAAATCCGAATTACGACCAGACGCCGTTGAAATCCCAACTGCTAGTGCATCGGTATCATTTCCATTGATGTATCGAACAGCTATTTGGTTGTCAAACGCCGTGGTGGTGTCGAACAATTGGAAGTCGTTCGGTTGCGTCCCCACAGCTACGATATTGGGAAAATCACCCGCATGGACGCTGCCCAACGTCAGTATGATATATAGACAGCAGATTCGCATGGAAGTATTAATCACCCTCCGAGACTACAGCAAATTAGTAACAAGTTTGTCCTTCAACGGAGCCGCAGAAACTTACGTATGTCCACAGGCAGTCATAGCAATCATGTCTGTAGTGTTGAATCCCATTCTGATAAATTGATTTATGAATGTTCCTTGGCCGTTTTGCGGCTGTGGGACGCCTTTTCGTGGTTTCAGTAAACGGTTATAGACTTGTGAAGAGAGACAAACCCAGTGGTCCTGCTGCAGTTGCATCCACTCTTCCACCTCGCATTGGTATCTGGTATCCATGGGGTCAGTTTTCGTTAATTTGAAATATTTCCTGGTTGGTAGTATTGAGATAAAAAGTTTGTCTTCCGGCGCATATCTAGAATAGACCCGCACACCGAACCAAGAAGTTCATTACATACCACAGGTCCACCGCAACCGCGCACAGAGGCATAGACACCAAGTGCAATGAGGTCAGAGACTGGCAGCTGACTATTGAATATTCCTCCATACGTATGCAATGTGGTGTTGAATCCAGCACCAATGTTCTCTCCATCATTCAACTCGAAGGCTATCGAAGCATCAATCCCTCCATGCGGCACGCCTACTGACGCGTAGTAGACATTCGTTGTAGCCATGTCGTGGAAACCTATCCGAAGCCATTCTGCCGCCGTTTGTCGTCCAGGTCCGAATTCCGAGAATCCGCATGGTGTAATATGTGCTGCAAATCCTCTATTGTTGTAGCCTGTATTCAGGAACATCACATCCTCCAATTCGTCAATGGAAGATGGCCATGTTACCTGGGCAGCTCCCAGCCCCGAAAAGATGGCGATCAAGCCCAAAACCGTCGGACAGACTCTCATGATTAGATATTAAAACAAATTATTATTATACTGCACAACACACAAACGAAGGTGAGGCTGCACTTGACAGCAATTGTGGCAAGGAAACGGCGGAAAGAGAAAAGAGAGAGCGGATCGTCGAAGGATACACCATAGTATTTAATATTGATTTTCCCGCTGGGGTCTCAGCCGCATAGTGATTTTGGGTGTCAGCGAGACCAACAGTTCCGAGTGCTGACCAGCATCGTATGCAGGTCCCTTGACAAAAAAAGCCTCGTATTACCACCGTACTAGGGGGTTGGCAAGGTGGGGTGAGACCTGTCGACTCATGATGCTCCGATTTCCTGGGATCCGCCACATCGTTGGCGCATGCACGATAGGAGGTAAGGGATGGATGTTCAGTGCAGCGCCGAATAAAAGACAGTACGCGGAGGCATTAGGGTTGACAGACTCAAGGTGGTAAGGCGGGCTTGAATAGAAGAGCGACCAAGGCGCCCGCGAGACTTATTCTGGCCGTGGTGTGATTAAGAGGGACAGATGCGCAAAGCTCAAAGAACGAGCCAAGCCGAGTCAATAGATGCGGGAAGTGGAGAGAGGTCCTCGAAAGCTTCCAGCCCCTCGGCCTTCAAGCCACAACCTGACAACGCCAAAGATGTCAAGCAGTGCCAAGAGACGGTGTGATCCGCGTGCAGAATGCGAAGGCGCCGAAGAGAGACACAGGACCAAAGAGAGAGAGAAAAAGAGGAGACGTGACTCAGACGAGGATATTGATAGCCTCAAGACCAGCAGCAGAGGAAGACGGAGAAGTGAAGTGAGGTGAGGTGAGGTGAGGTTATTTTGAGTTAAAGTGCGGATGATCTGCTAATTAGAGCTGCCGCTTCTGGACAAATTGATGTGGAGAAGAAAGCTAGTCCCTAATTTAACAATTGAACCCTTTGGTCCCCTTTTCCGCTGCTTCGGGAACGAAAAAGATCTAACCGCAAGCGAGATAGAGCGTTGAGAACACGAGTATGCTTACCCGTCCCTATGCAGACCTATGCATATACGTTAGTGCCAGTTGGCTTGGCTCACTATGCATGGCATGTATTATTCTGCACTATTGTTAAACTGCATTGCATAAAGCCAACGACGAGCCACAGAACTGCACGAATCCGGGATACACGTGAGCCTTTTGCGGGGCAATACATCCATCGTGCATGAGATCACAAGCTAAAATCCATATACCGAGAGATCAGATTTGACAGCTGTGAGCACCAAAATTCTGTAAATCGTGATGTTGGGTTGGAGAAGAGAAGAAATGCGAAGCCCTCGCTTGATGTCCCGCCCGTATTGTCCACTCCACTCCACCACAGCCCCTGAAAATCTTCTTATCAAAGAGCGCAAAAGAAAGAAAAAAAGATACGTGAGGTCTCACCAGCGAGCCTCACCGATTCTTTCACCCAGCGTGCCGTCGAACCCGATGGACCCCACAGCCCTAACTGAAGATACCCCGCCAGACACAGGCAGCGACCCAATCGTGTCCCTGCTGACCGCCTACAACGAACTGAACCCCGCCTCGGTAGATGAGCTCACCGAAGTACCTTCCCCATTAGAGTACATGCGCTGTGTCGCTCGCAATCGACCCTTTGTTGTGCGAGGTGGTGCAGCAGATTGGGAAGCTACCAAGACTTGGGATGTGGCGACCTTGAAGGAATTACTGAAGGGCCAGACCGTCAATGTTGCTGTTACCAAGAAAGGGTAAGCGGAACCATGGTCAAGGAAATTGGAGAATACTTATATTTACTTTCTATAGGAATGCAGATTCTCCAACACTGGACGACGAAGGAAAACTGTTGTTCGTGAAACCACATGAAGAGCAGCAGTCCTTTGAATCCTTTATCGATTTTGTTTCCGAGCAGGAAAGAACTGGTGATTTGACGGGAGAAGTCAGATATGCTCAGACCCGTTAAGAACCTCCCCATAGCTTGAAGATATTCTCGACTAACGAGCTCTAGAAAATGACAACCTCAGAGAAGAATATTCAGCCCTGTTCACCCAGGTGGAACAGGATATCCCTTGGGCACGCATCGCTCTAGAACAAAAATCCGAGGCTATAAATTTCTGGCTAGGGAATTCGAGATCCGTGACCGCGCTTCACAAAGACAATTATGAGAACATTTACGTTCAGATCATAGGACAGAAGCATTTCGTCCTGTTGCCACCTCTGGCATACGCTTGTGTAGCTGAGCGAGAATTGCCTGCTGCAACATATGTGCGGGGTGCTGAAGGTGAGTTGAAGATTGAAGAAGATGGAGGAGAAAGCGTGCCATTTGCTGCGTGGGATCCGGATGCAGAGCCTGGGAGTGAGGAGTGGCGAGGAACGAAGTACTCAAAGTACGCTGAACCGATCAGAGTGGGTTTGAGGAAAGGAGATATGCTATATCTACCTGCATTATGGTGAGATTTCCACATGAAATTGATGATCAAGGCTCACAAAACAGGTATCATAAAGTTTCACAATCGTGTTCTGAGGAAGGGATATGCTGCGCGGTCAATTATTGGCATGACATGGAGTTTGGTGGCAGCTTTTATCCTCTATGCGACTTCGTTCGGAGTACCGCCAAAGCTGCCCTTGGCGAAGGGGGTTGAAGAGCGAGAAAATGTTCAGCGCTTTCCTCAACAATCGAAGGTTACCAAGAAGTTTGAGCTGGAACTGTCAGATCTGACTAGTAACATCTAATCTAATTGACAATGGCTAAACAAGTTGCCCATACCAGACGTCATATACAAGGCTCCATCTCCCAATTCAGGTGAACCAAAATCTCCCACAAACCATTTCATCAAAATCATACCCTTTTAGCGCTAAACCTTAACCTCTATATAGATTTAACTAAGCAAACTTTTGCCATCGGGAATCCCGATACCCTCCGGTCGCCAACGCGGGGCAACCCGCGCGTTCGATACTTTAAAAAACCCATTCCCCGGGATGGGTTTTTACAAAGGCACCTCTCTCCCCCGCACTGCGGGGCAAGAGGGCTGCCTAGAGTTTTTTTTGTTTTTGCAGTCTATAAATAACTGTAACTCTCTCCTTTTATTTATATCTTTCTTCATTTTTTCTTAGGTTTTAATTTCATACTTTCATATTCTTTTTTGTATTCGGCTGGCAAGCTAGAGGTTCGGTAGCGAGGAAAGTCCCGATGACCTTTGACCTTCAACACACTAGAGCAAAGACTTCCAAGTTCGTCTCCCAACTTATGCGCTCGCTAGAAGAGACACCATCGCTAGAAGGAACCTCGAAGTGTGTGGGGGGCTCTTGACTGGAGAAGTCGTCTCGGACATGGGCCATGGAAATGCCATTGAAATGAACCTACTCTCTCGTACTATCTGGAGCACTCGATTTCGAGATTGGATATGGAACCGGCACAGTGCTGTGATTATCGAGAATTCGTGTCTGTTAATCGTTTGCCTGCATTGCAAGGTTGGGATGAGTTGATTGGTTGCCATTGATTCGTATGGTCTTCCGGTAGACAACACTGAGCTACAGAATGGTAACGCCCAGAGTCAGTATACTATGAGGTGTGACATCACAGTCAAGAGTCTTTCCCTAGACAGTTTCCAGGCAGCAAGTCATCACGAGTAGGCGCAAGTAAGATTATCACATCATTTGTATTGTGCGTTGCTGTCAAAAGTCCGATGTACCGGGACAAGGAATCGGTTTAAAAGTACAAAGACACACCCGCTCTCCATCTCATCCATCATCCACTTATTCTATACCCACCCTGCGTGATAGATCAGCCAAGCCGCGCCACCACGAGAATAAGAAGCAGAGACCTGCAAATATCAAGTGTCGCCTCCTGCAAAACCGATCAGAGTACTTTTGGAGAAGAACATAGCCTGATGTGAACATTCATGAAGGACGTGTCAGAACATGCCAGACGCAAATCTCAATCGGAAACACCGCAAAAGACATGGGCAGAGCATGCTGAACTGAAAGCTGAAGAGAAAGGAAAAATTTGTGCAGTGCAAAGTCCGCCCATATGCATTCTAAAGTGTGCAGGAGACCGTTTGTTTAAGCCCGGCGGCCAAGGTCAGCGGTGACCTGGCAGCAGAGCATGAGATCTAGACACATGATTTTGACAAGATCCAACGCCAAAGGAAAGTCGTCGTAGAGGAGAGAAGATGGGAGATTAAATGAGCTGTAGCTCCTTTATCGAGGCTCAACGATGAAGGCCACGCAAGGTCATGCTTTTGAAACACCAAACGCTCATTCCGTCATATTACGCCCAGGCTATGTTCAAGATGCAATGGCTCGGGCACCTTGGTTTCCACCACGGTTGTTCTTCTTGGGTTTAGAGACGGTGCTCCAACCATCTTCTTCGAGTACCGCAGCTTCTGGTTCAGCAGCTTGGGTCTGAGCAGGTGACGCTGGAGAAGCTCCACCGTTCATATTCTGCCGTGGGCGGTCATCGAAATGTCTTGGACCACCACGACCTTCACCGCGGCCTCGGCCTCTTCCTCTTGGACCACGTGGGATGTCATCTCTAGGTGGTGGTGGACCTCCAGATGGACGTCTCCAAGCACCAGTCTCTGATGGCTTGGGCTTTGCATCACGAACAATCTCCTTTGGCTTGACGGCCTTATCATCAACAATATTGCCGTTGGCGTTCTCGGTCTCCACCGTCTCGTTGGCTGCCTCGCCCTCGGTTCGTTGAAGAATCTCAACCTGCTTGCTCTCCTCGGCCTGCTTTTCTGCAGCTTCCTTGGCAGCTTGTGCAGCAAGTCGCTTCTCTTCCTTAGCCTTCTCCTCGGCCTCTTTCTTTTCCTGGACGGCGGCGAGTCTCTTCTCTTCGATCTCTCTCTCCTTTGCAGCGGTATCGATAGGACGTGCGGCTCCAAATGGGCTGGCTTTCGCATCACCAGAGGTAGAGGATGGGGACGCGAGAGGAGCTTCGGACACAGTTCTCTTGGCGAGATTCAACTTGGGACGGCCAGCAGGAAGTGCATTTGCGGGAGCCGGTGAGGAAGGCGCTTCGCTACCGTCACGGGATGGGATTGGCGACTTGGCTGCCGGGGCATCAGGTCGCATCTTTGTGCGCCACTGATTGTCTTGCTCAGCCGCAGTTGGGGTCCGTTCGACAACTGGGCGTTCTTGAAACTCTCGTCTGGGAGGTCTTGAGCCATCTTGAGATCCTTGTGGACGTCCCTCACCCCATGCAGCTGGTGAAGATCGACGATCACGGAAACCTTCTCCTCTTGGGCCATCGTTTGTTCGAGGTCGACCACCTTCACGAGGACCACCACGCTCTGGAGCAGTAATGGGAGACAATGGGCCCTTGCGTTCCCAGTTTCCAAAATCGCGGACCTTGCCATCACCCTCTGGGAATCGTTCCTTTCTTTCTCCTCCGAAATCATTTCCAAATCCACGGTCTGACTCGCGACGGGGGCCTCCTCGGGATGGTAGGTCGGGAAGCGGTCCCTTTCTGCTCCAATCGTTCAGCTCTCTGGCTTCTGGGCGGTCACCTCGATCCTTCGCTGTAGTGAATATAATGATTAGTGACTGTGGGTAGATATACGAGAGCATTTATAACATACGTGGATCAGCAACACTGATTCGGATGTTGCGTCCTTGAAACTGGCTGCCATTAAGAGTCAAAGCTTGCTTCAAGCCATCTCGAGTGGCAAATTCAGCGTAGCCAAAACCTTTGGGCTTCATCTCCATCTTGTCCTCAATGATTCGAACATTGGTGCATTCGCATCCGGCGAAGAAATCGTTGACATCTCCAACAGTGGCGTCGAAAGACAGATTTCCGAGATGTACAGTGTAGGGGGGCTTGTCAGGAAGGGGGAGTTCTTCGCGAACAGAGTAGCCTAAATCGCATCACATATTAGCTGCGATCGACTTTGTTAGACCGATCTCGAACTGACCTCCTCCTCCCATGCTACCACTGCCGTATGTGCCTGTAGTAGAGCTGTAGGTACGTCGTTCACCGCCTCCATAGCCTGTGCGAGAGTCTGCTAGGAGTCAGTATTGTTAAAGATGGAAAAATTGTTGGAAATGCGGTCTGAAGGCGAACTGCATACCCGCTACAAATGTTCAGTTAGTAGACACACCTTTGGATGTGATTCATGAAGACTTACAAACTGGCATATCCTCCATCTCATCGGCCCATGATCCCATCTCTGTGCCATGTTAGACTACTCTTTCTGTGTGAGGCTGAGGCGGTCGAATATTCTTACTCTCGTCAGTCAAGAAGGCCCCGAGGGACATCTTCTGCTGTTCTTTCTTCTTGGGCGCTACATGGCAAACATATCAGCAAGATGCCTTGAACATTGTAGAATTGGTACAGCAGCTCTGCGCGCATTGCGCGTGGGGCCAGGGGAATTTTCGATCTGGCTTACCCATGTTTGCGGGTTTTTTAAGGACACTGCGCGAGAACTACTGCTCTTGCGCCTGTCCTGGTAACTTGGCTGAAGGATAGCAATTCCTTCAGTATGTGAGATTGCGATTGCGAAAGCGGTGATCAAGTTTCTAGAACTTGATTGTGTTGGGACTGTCGTTGCGGATGGAGTCCTCGCGGTCCCTTGACTTTCGAGTGCAATTCTTTTTGGTGTTAAGAAAATCGCGGGAGAAAAGCCGCTAGTACCACAATAGGCTTAGCGAAAGAACTCGAATATAGCTCCGACATGGGACTTCTTGTTCTTGTCATTCATCGAATTGATCTATGAATGTTCACAGCACGACATGGTTCAACGACTATTGAACTCTATGAGTCGACTTCTGGTTGGATTTTGTCATTGAACAGTCAAACATGCAGCCGAATGCTTGCTCGATAAAGAAAATTAAAGACGATATGACAGCCACTCCACAGTCAGGGGAAGACTCAGAGGGTCATCGAAAACGAAATGGCTTGCCTCCAGAAGTTATAGAAATTATCTGGCCTGCTCTGCAGGTTGGAGGACTTTCCGGTATGTATATCCCTCATGGCGCCGATCCGTACTCTTCAGGTCTTGCTATTCCCCAGTTGGTCATGACTGAATTTGCACGTGATAATACATAATAAAGACTTCCAGGTTACTAAACTGTGTCTTAGGTCTGTCTGGATTGACTCTCGGAGCATTTGCTGGTGTTATGCGCTCGAGTCCCCCTGCACTGTTTGCTATGGCTGCTGGCATCCAGTGGTTCACTCTGGGCACCACCATTTGGGGTAAGCTCAGCAGCATGTAGTATTGGGCACTTGCTTATACCTGTGAAATAGCGTCTAGAGGGTTTGTCCTCCACGCATGGGGAAAAGAAAAAGTTACGCCACGTGAGAAGATATCTGCAAGTGCTATAGCAGGAGCAATAGGTGGAACAGCTGGAGGTCTTCTTCGTAAGTCTTTTCATTTTCGACGACACCACCTGACCAGCACTGATTTATCTTGTAGGGGGGCGAAAGAACGTAATTCCAGGTGCAACCATGGTGGCTCTGTTTGGAGCTACAGGACAGTATTTGTACAATGTTGCAGATGCTCGGAAGACTACCCTTGCAGGAAAGCCAGAAAGTGCTAAAAATTCATGGCTGGACTCAAAATGGAGTCCCATGAAAGTGTTGTCAGACCAGGACTATGAGAACATGCTGCGAGAGAAATTATTACGTGTCAACGCCGAGATTGCTCTCGTCGATGACAACATTGAAGCGCTAAGAGCTCAAGAGCAGAAGCAGAAGGCGAAAGGGAGGCCAGACGTGGAGAATCCACGACCGGCCAAATGATGAAGCTCGACTACTCTTACCTATATAATACGGATGTTATTGTCACATGTGAAGATCTCTGCAGTGGCAAATCAGCAAAGAATGAAGAACTCGCTTACGTGAGAGAAATCGGTTAGGCTTCAGGTAGAGAGTATCTTTTCCATTATTGTTCCAAAGTTTCAGTTCTTGCTATGTCGTTACCGAAAATCGGAAAGAACATGAGGCCGAATGACAACAGGTCCCTTTCACAATGAAGCGTGCATAACACAGAACATCCGCACTCTGATGGAGAATCATCTTTACAGCATGTCAGAAGATCTTAGTCTACATATCTGCAACAAGGATCTCTATTCTTCTAATTCAGTCTTCCACCACAATGGATCAGGCATCAGCTGAATCTTGCCCTGAGGGTCTGGAGTGTGAGAAGGCTTCTTGCAGACAGTCTGCCATATCTTGTTTACTGTCATCTTTAAAATGATTGTCAAACATCGCAACTGTTGCCATATGCATGATCTCTATTCGTAGCAAGAAACATCTGCTCACATGAGAAATCTGCCACCAAGTAGCCGGCATCCAGAACCCGGGACATGAAATCAACCATTCAACCATTCATCCATCCATCTCTGCTCTTCTACCCGTCTCTGGTATGTGTGCTACGAGCGACGGGGACGACGGCGGCGAGTTATTTATACCTGCTGTCGTCTAGCGGTATCACAAAGCTGTGACTCAGCCTTGAGCAGCTATTCCCACATCAGGCATCAAGTACGATCGATCTGGTGTATAGTTATAACGGACTAAGAAACAAGTGGCTTGTAAAAAGTCTTCCTATTACTTCACATCACCGATATCGGGCCTTGAACTTGGAGGAGCTACTGTCTTTGGTATTTTACAGCGGAAATCTGCCTCTTTAGTCCTGCTGTGCGTTACATCCTCTTAAAGCACTCAACCTCACATGCATTTGATCCTTTCGAAAAGCTTTTGTTTGATCACTCAAATGATGTATGCTTGTGATCAAAGTCATTGAACCACCAACAGAACACTTATAAGCAAGACAAAGAAACTATCAGCGAGTACCTAGAAATTCAGATATCTACCTGTCAATTTGCATTGACATGGTGACTGCCCGTACCTGATTCATAGAAGCAGAAAGTTCCCATCACCACAATACAATGTGGTCCTCAAATCATGAACGCGAAAACAAGTCAAAGAGCTTGCAATCGTCGTTCTATATACATCTGGGATAAGTCACTAGGATATCAAGCAACGAAGCCGCCTCCAAGTTGGAGGAAAAAGTGGCGTGTATTTAGTCCTCCAAGCAATACGAATAGATTCGCAATTCTCTGCAAATCCAATTCACAGAATGTGTATAATTGGCAGGCACAAATTGGACAGCTTTGGAAAGTTAAAGTCGTACGACATTAGGGCATTTCATGTAGGGAAGTTGATCGATTCTCAAGACAAGCCTAGCTTGCCGTGAAGGCGGCGTCTTCGAAGTCCACCCAAACCTGTCTATCTCCATGAAGGAGCGATAATCTGGAACATAGACCGAGAGAAGATCACGTATAGATTGCATCCGTTGTCAGAGTACGATGTTTTTCTGTACGAATGACAGACAATTTCCATTTTTTGGTCTCCATACTCCAATGCTATGCAAAAGCAAATTGTTCATCTCTACCCTCAGTCATCATCATTATCCTCTGCTACTCCTTTCTTTCGGGCTGCATTCAAGACCCACTCTTCGGCCTTTGCCTTCACCTTCTCCTGACTCTTTTTGTCCCCGTTCTTCTCTTCCCACTCTGCCCATCGCTTGAACCAAGCTTTTGCACCCTTCGGCTTGAGTCCTTTAGTCTTTACAACACGCTCAAAAACACCTCGAATGACATCTTGGTCGCCTTGCTGCATTTCCAGATCAAGCAACTGATTCCAAATATCGAGTCTCTTGGGGAACGTAGAGACCAGCGACTCGAACATTGTTCGCCCTCGCTCTGCAGAGCCAGCTGGAGAATGGAATTCCAAAGCAGCAAATTTAAGAGTAAGGTTCAGGTGCGTATGTGGTGGTAGTGATTGAGTTGCTCGGGGAAGAAGAGCTCGCGCACGATCTGGCGATGATAGCGTTGAGTGCAGGAAATGAGCATAATTATACCAAACCGTCGGTGATTGCGAGAATTTTTTAACAAGCACCTGGAAGATCTCGTCGGCTTTCTGTTCAAACATGAGTATGGGATACTAGGACTGCCGAGTTCAAGGACACTTACGTTGTTCTTGCCAGATTGTATGTAGATACTGGCTAACCGCTCATGAATCTCCTGAGCATCATTGTATTGGCATGCCCGCTTGAAAATCTCCTCGACAGTCTCGTCGCTGCCGTACGCGTTCTCTAGATTGAGTAGAGCTATCCAAACATTCATCTTTTCCGTCTCCTCTCTGATATTGATTATCTTGATAGCACGCTCAGCCACTTCCCTTGCTTTGCTTAGTTCACTAAGTTGCATCTGAAAAGCCATGTACTGGATCCAAAGCTGAGATGAATCTGGCTGCCCAAGAAGCAGTCTTTCAAAGTCGCTAGCAGATTGTGGGCCATTAGCATCCAAATCACCTGTCTTGTCGACTTGGATTTCCGCCTTTCTTTTCTTCTTTTTCTTCGGCTGCTCCTTCATCTCATCATCATCAGAAGCCACGCTAGACTGGTCTTCAGCTTGGTTGAGAATATCGGCTGACCAATCAAAGCCACCAGCACTGAGACCGGCAACATTTTCCTCGTCTGCGTCCGCCATTTCTTTATCGGAGTCATCTTGGTTCTGTACAGCAGCGCTGCCAATGCTTTCAATATCGTCGAGGTCGACACCACCAGCCTCGTCATCGGAGTCATCATCTTCCACGTCAGAGCCGGCTATTCTGATGCCTTCCATAGCATCCGCTGCGTCATCAGCCTCCTCACTATCCGAATCTCCAGTCTCACCAAGATAAGACGCTTTGAGGCCGAAGTTGATCTGTCTCTTTTCGGGATTGATTCTCAACACTTTGGCTTTGACAACGTCGCCTTCATCGTATAGCTTTCTGACATCCTTTACACCCTTGTCGGCCATCTGACTTTGATGACAGAGCCCGCTGACGTTTTGTGACCCGTCGACAACAATGAACACGCCATAATCTTCCACCTTTCTGATCTTGCCAGTGATGATCTGGCCAACCTTCATGTCTTCGAAAGCGAGTGGCGCCACATAATCCTTGTCTAAGACTGAAGCCTTCAAGGACATTTGGACGTTATTGTTCTCCAGATCAACCTTCGTAATCTTCCCCTTGATGAGTTGATCAACCTCAAATTCCGATTTCCAGTCTTTGAGAAATGAATCAGAAAGTTCAGATACTCGAACGTAGGCAGTGACATTGGCCCCAATTGCAACGAACAAGCCTTTGTCGTGTACGTTCTTGACAAAACCTCGCACAATATCATTGACTTTCAATTGAGAAACTGATATTATCTCGGGATCTTGCACGGACAGAGACGAGTCAAGGACCCTTGAAGGTCGAGCAGACAAAGTAATTCTCTTGTTTGGCGCATCAATTTCCGTTACACAAACCCGAACAATGTCGTTCTTCGAATATTTTGTTGGATCCGCCAATGAAAAATCATCGGTAAGATCAGTCAGATGTACAGGAGCAGATATTCTGTCACTAAGCTGAATCATGACCTGTCTTTCGTTGACTCTGGTCACCTTTCCTGGCACAACCATGCCTTTACTGAGATTCTTGAACGTCAGTGGTTCAGATGTCTTGCTGGAACGAGCAGAAAGGTCTAATCGATTGTTGGCCACGTCCACGTTGGTAACGTGAACTCTAAGAGCTGAACCAACAGGAAAGTTTGACTCGAGGTCACCCAGCAGAGACACATCATCGGACACGTCCAGTGCCTTTATCTTACCCCGAACGTTAGGCGAAAGGTTTACCCATAAACCATCTTCGGTAATATTGTTCACGAAAACAAGATGTGAAGAACCAACTTTGACTTGATCAAGCGTTAATGGCCCTTGAGATGACTCTGACTGGTCACTGGGCTTCGCTGAAAGCTCGAAGACAAAGTTTTTTCCTCCTCTGTGCGAAATCGGTAGAAAGCGGTGGTTTCGTGCGTCGTGGATGCCAAGGACTCGGACATTGACAATTTGCTTGGATGAGAAAGGTCGCAGAGGCCTCTTCCGGTCTTTTATCTGATCCCAAGAATCGAAAACTTGTGAGACGTCAATTCGACCTTGAATACCAGCTGCAAGTTGTACATTGATCTGCGTATCCTTGATAGATGCTATTCTTGCTTTCGTCAGTTTCCCTAGAGAAAAGTCTTCCATGCTCGAGATCGTGCTGTCGATTGGGTCGATGACAGGCCGACTAATCGTGGTATTGGAAGATTGTTCCTCCGTGGGTTCTTGTTTGCGGCCAGCATCCACCATAGAGAGTAGAAATCTCCGCTGACTGTGATCAACAGATATCACCTTGGCTTCTAAGGATTGATATTTTTTGAGACAAAACTCGGGAAGGCTGATAGTATCTGAAGGTAGCTTATTCTTAGGCAACAAGCCCGTCAAGTTCCCTCCAAACTGAACAAAAACTCCTGTGAGGGTCACGTTCCTGACAAATCCATGGACTGTCTTGTTCTCCTTGACGTCGTCAAAGCTTCTCAAGAGTACTCGGTTCTTGGCATCTGCGACGAGACTAGGCTTGTTAGTCAGGACTACAAGATGTTTCTGCTCCATCTTTTCGAGGACTGCTAGATCAGCCAGAGTCTGCCCGACGCGGATCCTTTTCAGCGCAGATGCGTTCTTGGAAGAAGATCCGTCGGTAAGCTGTCCGACTGGAAGCACGGCACGAATGCCAAGGCCTTGAAGTTCGACAGATATGTCGTCGCTGGACTTCTCTGTGACGACAGCCGAGACGATGTCGCCTATCTTCAGCTTCTGCATCGCAGCTTGCTGGGCAGCTCCGAATGTGGACGCGTCTTTGCAAGAAACTAGTAGCTTTTCTTTCTCCGCGTCAACTGTGAGAACATGAACATTCACAACTTGTCCAACGCGGAAGTGTTGATTAGGATCTTGTATGTAAGCCTCACTCATCTCAGCCACAGGCAAGAAGCCTCGTATCGTGCCATAGAATTGAACCACGGCGCCATTCGGAAGGATGTTAACGATCGTCCCAGGACTCTGCATGCCAGGAGCGATCTCATTGTAATTGATAAACGGCGCCGCTTCAGAATTGACTAAACTCTTCTTCAAGGTTAACCGAAATTGCCGTTTGCCTGGATCCGTAGATAACACCCGAGCAGTCACAGCTAGTCCTTCTTTGAATTTCTTCTCCGGGTGAAGTAGTTGAATGTCAGACATGTGAGTTTTTGGAACAAGACCGGTGATGCCTTCGGCCAGAGTGACCAAGAGGCCACCAACACCAGAAGCGTCGACAACAATCTTCTCAACCTTTCCTTTGACTACTTCGGCCACAGTCAAATCCTCGATTCGCAGAAAGGGTTGTTCCAGGATGCTAGCCTCCATCGATACGAGATACATGCCGTCAAGCAAGTTGTAACCGACAAGTCGACCTCGATGACTTGAGCCAACTTTGTATGGCCCACTCGACTCGAAAAGGTTCTCAATTTTGCCATCCTTAACGCGAGAGATGTGCACAAATCCAGAGACGCCCTCCAATCCGACGTCAACCAAAAGGCCAACTCCCGATTCTACTTTTTTGACAGTAATTTCTTCGATGATCGTTGACAGTGGTAGGATTTCTAGAGGATGTTGTTTCTCACCATCTTTTGTGGCCAGTTGAGAGCGCAAAGAAACCACGTGGTCAAGAAGCGATACTCCGAGCTTGGGCGGATCGGAGGTGGGGAAGGTGCAGATGATTCTGGCCTTTGCTTTAGAACCGATCTTATACCTGGCCTGCAGGTCTTTCCCATCAATGGCAGCCCCGGAATGCATGAGATCTGCCGTAACGTCGACCATACCCATTATCTTTCCAGCTAATCCTCTAGATGACACATCCGTAATTAGGACTTCAACTGCTGTACCTGGTAGGAAGGCATCAACAGCAGGTGCTTCGGACAAAAAGTTCTGTTTCTTTATATCGCCAATTTTCCGCACATCCGTAGATAGCTTCACGATTTTGGAATTGGAGCTGAGGCCCGTGACCACACAGAGATAGACTGCACCCTCTATGATATCTGAGAGCTTAGCACCAAATGGAATCTCCTTGGCTCCCATGAATCCTTTCATTTCGGGGTCATCAAGACCCAGATCCATGACAAGGCCGTGATCTTCGACACTTTTCACCGATGCCATAAGCGTGCTGTTGGTGATAACATTTCGCTGTGATAGGGAGTTGTTCGACTGCTGAGGCTTCAGTGATAGTTCTATTCGTCTCTTGGATTTTCCTGGTGTTGCGGAATCGTCGTCGCCAGTAGACATGACATAAGCTCGGAGGTATTGGCCTATGGAGAAAAGTCTCCCTAATTCAATGTCTTCAGAATTACCTTGCTCGTCATCTTCTTCTGAGTCTTCCTTGGTTGCGATTGCCTCGATCCTCTCAGTGATCTTATCGGAAATAGAGGTTATTGGCACGTAGCCAGTCAAATTGTTCGGCAGTGACAGGGCAATATCGTGATCATTGACTTGGGAAACTTGGCCTAGTACTAGTGATCCTGGCACAATTCGCTGTAATGGTCAGTCAGGCAACACAATAGAGATTATGGTCATACCTTGTAACTCAATCCCTCAATTTTCACATCCGCTTCTTCTGGCTCGGGCTCCTCTGCAGCCTTCTTACCCTTTCCCTTGGACCTCGATTTTTGCTTCTTGCGATCGGCTGTGCCGTTAGTTGTGCCATCCTCGTTCGTCTTTGACGACTTTGCGCTTTGTTCAAACAAAACATCTCGAGTAGCTTGGATTTGAATTTGCTTGTGCTCCAACGGAGTCAAGAGACTTGCTCCACCTCTAGGAAAGGCAGCATCTTCTTCCCGCGCCTTTGTAATCTTTGGAACCAGAGAAGTCTTGGGAGTTGTCGTCTTGGGAGTTGTCGTCTTGGGAGTTGTCGTCTTGCTCTCGTGCTTGTCTTCCTGTCTCAATCTTTTTGAAGGTCGACTTTCTTCTTCGACAGGTTTCCTTGATCGCGCAAAAGATTCGTTCGTGGGACCAGTCTTCCTCTTCTTGTCAATTGGTGCCATAATTGAGCTTAATCGAAGGAAATTCTGAGGCGGGGTGGGTGGTGCAGCAGCTTCAATATTAAAATTCTTTGAGAACTGGAACTTTTTCTTTCTGTCCCGAGGTTTACCCGCTAGCGTAAGAACCTTAATTATCCAGCCTCGTGATTTTGACAACGTCATTGGTGGGGAAGAATAACAGGGTTTGTGTTGACCCAGGCTGCAGGGACAGACAGAGACAACAGATTCACATTATTGTGTCTGGTAATTTACACATTCGCTCAACCACCCGCGGACATTGAATTACTTTTCTCAACAACGTTCGAGAGTTCGTCAGCCTATTCCATGGGACCATTACGACAATCCAAGCGCGCCAGAACAAAGCCTCCCATCGAACAGGCGGGCTCGAGGCCAAATGTTGAGTCGAACGAAGCACCAAGTGAAGCAGGCTCGTCAACATCCGCAGAATCCTCGACTCCTGTTCCAAAGACCCCCCAAAATGCGGCAAACTCAACCGAGGACATAGCTGTTCCTTTGACGGCTGGCAACGCCAGGTCCAGTGCCAACAAGCCGCTCAAGTCTAAGAGTAGTTGGTATGGGACTTGGCCTCGAAAATCAACGGCTTCTACTCAAGTGGCGAGGGAAACTATATTGGCTGATAAGCCCACAAACACTTCATCTGCTGACTTAGGTCGGTTCGAAACTAAGCCTCCACCTGCTACATCTTCACGTCCTCCTTCTATGCTGCTCGGGAAGAGCAAAGAGACATTAGATGTCACTATGGGCGGAACATATGAAGCGGAAAATGCGGCAGATAACATAGAGCACATGAAGCCGATGTCCAGCGAGAATGAAGCGGATGCTCCCTCGCCTCTACCAGTACCTACCGAGAATATACCTGCTCCTCCTCGAACAGAGCCGGTATCAGACGCCGCTTCCCAACGGCCTTCGACATCTTCTGGCTGGCTCGGAGGCTGGCTTAGCAGGCCGATGCCACAGACGCATGCAGCGGATGAGTGCCAGCAGATTACCAGTCAACCTCAAGCTGCACAAAAGCCACAAGATCAAATGGAACAAGAAGCACCAAATGAACAGCCTGTGCTGAAGGAATGCACTACAGAGAATGCATCAGCTTCAGTACCAACACCAGCGCCACCGTCATCTTCTTGGTTTGGTCTTTGGTCGACTGCAGCACCCTCGACCGTAGCAGAGGCCCCTAAAGATGAGATACCCGTGAAAACAGGGGATACTGGCGGGGACACTGTCATGGAAGATGCTCCTTCTGCAGTGCCGGAAGCAAGCACTCAACCTGCAGCTGGATCTTCATGGGCATTCTGGTCAACAGACAGCAAGAAGCCCGCTGATGCTCCAGCAAAAACCGAGACATCTGGACAGCTTGCAGTAGCAGGGGAAAGTTCCCAAGACAAGCCTGAGCCGGCAAAGACTGTACCGGTAAAGGACACTCAGAAGAAGGACAGCAAGAAAGGGAAATCAAGTAAGAGAACTAGGCCATTGTCAGGCGAGGTGGAAGAACTTCAACCAAACAGCAGTGTGGAAGCGGCACCTAAAGCTACTTCATCTCAAAGCCCAGCTAGCGTAAAGGCTACACCTCCAAATTTACTGCTTCCTTCGGTGAAAAGCACCTACCGCCTGGTTGAGAACCCCTCGATTCTGCAACAAATTACCCGACTCATCATGTATGGACAGCAACAACCTGTCAAGCATGTATTTTTGGTCAAAGATCCGCCAAAAATTAAGAAAGCTTTAGCAATAGGGATTCATGGTCTTTTCCCGGCCCCGCTGCTTCGAACTGTGATCGGGCAACCCACTGGAACTTCCATTCGATTCGCGAACCATGCCGCCTCCGCCATCCGCCGATGGACAGATAAGCATGGATCGGTCGATTGTGAAATAGAAAAAGTCGCTCTTGAGGGAGAGGGAAAGATTGCTGATCGAGTTGATAATCTTTGGAAACTTCTGCTCAATTGGATTGATCACGTTCGAAAGGCAGACTTCATTCTTGTTGCCTGTCATTCGCAAGGAGTGCCTGTGGCATTGATGCTGGTAGCAAAACTAGTCGAATTTGGTGTGGTAACGACAGGAAAGATTGGCGTGTGTGCGATGGGTGAGTTTGAACATACGGCCTTTTCTTTCGACATTGCTAAGCCTCATCTTCTAGCTGGAGTTTCTCTCGGGCCGTTCCCGGATTACAAATCGAGACTATTCAGTGGATCTGCTGGAGAATTGTTCGAATTTGCAGATCCGGAAAGTACCGTCTCCAAGAGATATGAAGATTCTCTCCGTGTAGCGGTCAAATATGGGGTCAAGATCACATATTGTGGATCCATCGACGATCAGCTGGTATCTATGGAGGTTTGTTACGACGTCGACGTTCCCTTCAAATTTTCGCTAACCCTATGCCAGTCCTCCACTTTCTCGCCTGCGAGCCATCCATACATATACCGAGCTGTGTTTGTAGATGGCCGAATACACGCTCCTGATTTGTGAGTATCCTGTGCCTTTCGACTTTTCCCCTTGCAATCTATGATCCACCGCCCTTTTGATGTTATTGGGTTATGGGTACTCAAACATTGTCCTTGTTCTCGTGTCACTAACTTCCGGCAGCCTTTCCCACCTTGTCGGGTTTGCCTTGAAACTTCGTAATCTGGGAGTTTCAGACCATGGCCTCATCAGAGAACTATCCGCTCCTCTCGCGGGCAGCCTCTATACAGGCGAGGGTCACAGTCGGCTGTATGATGATGGAAATGTTTACGAGTAGGTAGCGCTGGAAGTTCTTAGACATCCTTGCTAATGCTTTACAGTCTCGCAATTGAGTATGCTTTGGAGACTACAACAGTTGGAGATGTTCCCCTAGACGTTAAGAAATACGAGATCCCTACGAATGCGAATCCATACATCCTACCGTGGATTATGCGTGGACTTTTAGAAGAGGATTTCGTGAAGACGGAGCTGGATCAAGAGACAACCGAGCTTTTGAAAAAGTTCGATGACTGGAAACCGGCCACGAAAGTCCTCAAAGATGTGAAGTATAGACTAGAAGCTGTAAGGTCAAAATTATAGGATAAGGGACTCGGCGAAGAAGATACATGGTTGGTAGGCGCTTGGGAATTATGAAACGAACTCGGTTGGGCAAGGTAGAGACATAGATGTCTGGCGTTGATAAGTTCACAGCGCTGATGAGAATCAGAATGATACCCTCAATATACAATATACTTTTGATATTTGACTACGGGACTAGTGATGGAACTGACCATCCTCGATGCCTCGTTCACCTCCCGTCGATGTTACTCTCCACGTGATTGCCAATTATGGTTAGACCAAGACTTATAAATTCAACGTCACCACTTCTTTTCCCCTCGAATGCCAGACCCCAGAACATCCGTCCATAACTTGCTTATATATCGACGAAACGAGGAGATCGATGCTGACCGGCATTTCATCTGTTTCTCATGGCAGTGTGAAAGCAGAGAAGTGCCATGCGGCTGCCCCGCCTTTGCAGAAAGCGCGACGTAACTTGCAGCTGGCCCTGCCCTGTGGCTAGACAACACCGGAGCAAAAGTTCCTGACAGCCCAAGCCAAGCTCCTCTAACGGATATGCCTTTCCTGCCTCTGAAAGCGGCTGCTGGCAGGCCTATCATCTCACGGTGTGATCTCTCTGGTCCCCATTCGCGGCTGTCAACAGGTCTTAGCTCTGCCCACCATGCCGGTTCTGACCCAAAACCATGTTTCTTGCCGCTTTGTCCACCGGCCATCTAATTTGATGCGGAAGCAGAACATGTAACCACTTCATCGACTATTGGCTGCGTACCTACTGAGTTTTGATCCTTGAACAGGTGGAGCTCCGCTCCGATTTCATCTGCAACGTCATTTGGCAAATCGTGAACGTCCAAAAACAAACGTAGGTTCTTTTCCTTTCCAGTTTCACTTCTCTTTTCAACAATTCCAAAGTCTTGAACCCAATTCCATCTATCTCAATCCCGGAGTTATGCAATCAGTTCTTGGAGGTACTGTTCAAAAAGCTGGCGAAGCCATCAGTGGAGCTATGTCGTCCAACAAGAAGCTCACCGATATGAAACGGAATGAGATTGAGCCAAAGTCCAGTGACCGTTTGACAACTGATTATGGAGTGAGGCAACCAACCCATGACAACTGGCTGCATGCTTCTACTGGTGATCGCCAAGGGCCAGCCCTTCTCGAGGACAATTTTGGACGTGAGAAGGTAAGTCATTAGCAGAGAGAGACTGAGCTAAATATGCTAACGTAGCCTTATAGATTATGAAGTTTGACCATGAACGTATTCCCGAGCGAGTCGTCCATGCAAGAGGTGCTGGCGCCTTCGGAAACTTCAAGTTGTACGAGAGTGCCGAAGATGTCACCAGTGCCGGTGTCCTTACCGATACATCTCGTAGCACGCCTGTATTTTTGCGATTCTCTACTGTCTTAGGTTCTCGCGGAAGTGCAGATACCGTAAGAGATGTTCGAGGTTTTGCAGTCAAGTTCTACACCGACGAGGGAAATTGGGATATTGTTGGAAATGATATTCCTGTGTTTTTCATCCAGGATGCTATCAAATTTCCTGATGTGATACATGCAGGAAGTAAGTGCAAAAAATCGTACCTTGACCACTTCACTAACAGCCACAGAACCTGAGCCTGATAATGAGATCCCTCAAGCACAAACTGCACACAATAACTTCTGGGACTTCGTATACTTGCATTCTGAAGCAACACATATGTTCATGTGGGCAATGTCCGATAGAGGAATCCCAAGATCCTACCGCATGATGCAAGGATTTGGAGTGAATACCTACACTTTGACCAATGCTCAAGGCGTAAGACACTTTGTCAAGTTTCACTTCACCCCAACTCTTGGTGTCCACTCCCTCGTATGGGATGAGGCATTGAAGATCGCTGGCCAAGATCCGGATTTTCATCGCAAGGATCTCTTCACAGCCATCGAGAGCGGCTCTTTCCCAACTTGGAAATTTGGTATTCAAGTCTGTACGTTGAAATTTACTCCTATTCTCCTTAGCCTTAGAAAACCGAGCTGTTCGGAATTCTATTCGGGAGTTGCTCATCCAAGAGGATGTGGTTCAAGCCCTCCGATGGGGCCTTTAGTTCCAGATCTTTGTTTGAACGTGTACTGACTTGTATATAGGCCCTGAAAGCAAGCAAGATGACTTCGACTTTGATATCCTCGACGCTACAAAGGTCTGGCCTGAAGAGCTTCTCCCAATTAGATACATAGGAGAGCTTCAACTCAACAAGAACCCCGACGAATACTTCACACAGATCGAGCAAGCCGCCTTCTGCACAGCTCATGTTGTACCAGGCATCGGCTTCTCAGATGATCCCCTCCTTCAAGGCCGAAACTTCTCGTACTTTGATACCCAACTCTCCCGCCTCGGCGTCAACTGGCAAGAACTCCCTGTCAATCGTCCAGTTTGTCCGGTTATGAACAACCACCGAGACGGACAGATGCGCCACACGATCCAAAAAGGCAAGATCAACTACTACCCCAATCGTCACGACATCGTCCCTGCTGCAAAACCCAGCGAAGGCGCTTACATTGACTATCCGGAGAAGGTCGTCGCAATGAAACAGAGATTGCTCTCTATAAAATTCTCTGAACACTTTGCTCAAGCTCAGACGTTCTGGAATTCTATGGCTGATTACGAAAAAGCTCATATTATTAACGCACTTGGCTTCGAGCTCGACCACTGCGATGAACCTATCGTCTATGAAAGAATGATCAATCGCCTCTCGGACATCTCTCTCGATCTCGCACAAGCAGTCGCCGAGAAAGCAGGTGCACCTACACCTACGAAAGCAGGCAGGCCAAATCACGGACTCAAGATGAAAGGTCTCTCAATGACTGAGTTTACCCCCGAAGCACTAGGCCTCCCTCCTACCATTGCGACCAGAATGATTGCCTTTATCATTGCCGATGGCTTTAACCTTTCTGAGTACGAAGCTGTCAAAGGAGCTTTGAGCGCTGCAGGCGCGTTGTGTTTCACAATCGGTCCCAAGAGACAGCCAGTCAAGAGCTCAAGCGGAAAGACAGTTGCCCCAGATCATCATTTCGAGGGCATGAGAAGCACGATGTTTGATAGCATCTATGTTCCCGGTGGTGAGCATGTTTCTACCTTGATGAAGCAGGGCAGAGTTATCCACTGGGTTAGAGAGGCATTTGGGCATTGCAAGGCTATTGGCGCCACTGGTGAAGGTGTCAAGCTCGTCAAGATGGCCTGCGAGGTTGAGGGAATGGTATTCAGCAGTGGGGAAGGAGGAAGTGTTACGGAGTCATACGGTGTTGTTACTGCAGGTGGAGTTGGCAAGCCGGAAAGTGTGGGTGATGCTTTGAAGATGGTGAAGGGTGCTAAGAACTTCATTGACGCTTATGCGTTCAATATTTCTCAACATCGAAACTTCAAGCGCGAGGTTGACGGGTTGACTAGTATGGTTGCTTTCTAATTTGGCATGCTAGGTCTGAAATAATATCCAGACCATTGTTATGAATAAGCACCAGGGACATTGAAGTGATTTTATTTTGTGGATTTTAATTTCTTATACCTACACGTGAGAAATGTCCCTCGAGTCCATATACTTCATACTTCCCTCACCTACCTATGTATGTATGCCGAGAGACTAACACGATGAGCCTGCCTTGCTCTCTTGGCGACTCAACACGCATCACCAAAAGTTCCACCACATGCTTCCGGGTGCACGTAGGTGATTCGTTCCGAATCTTCGCAATAATGGTATCCGCAACCGTATGAACTCCTGCTCGCTGAGTAGAACGCCAATAATGCAGGTTTCTCAATGCTCGCTCGCTCGCTGAAAATCATTATACTCCAAACATTACATGCCTCGATCATAATCCAACAATCAAGATATCGCTTTTCAACACTCATCGTCGTCGTCATAGTCCGCTTCAACAGTTGCCCATCCGCAGTTCCATCGTCGACCCTCGCTTTCACCACCAGTCCTCAGATCCTTCGCAGAGTCACGATCCTCTCTCCAACATCTGACAATAAGGTCATCCCCGACAGTTACAAGCTCGCCGTCATGTGTCCAGGTCACACACCCAACTTCACGATCATGACCTCTGGTGAGAGAAGAGCCAATCGTGTAAATTGGGCAAGTGGGCATTGCACGACAGTCAAACTCCTCTTGCTTCACTGGAATCGCGCCTCGGGCAGAATGCGGGCTAGGCAAGTACCGCTCATCAGTCGGAAAGAGGACTGCACAGTCATCGCTACTGCCCACTGCTAACAGCTCACTGTGCCCATTGTTCGTAGTGCGAAGTGCGGACTTGACGTAGAATGTGTTTGCATGGAACTTTGGGTTGCGGAGGCCGTATATGGGACCGAGACCCTCCTGTGTAAGTTTAGCCTGACTTGGTCGAGTGTTGCTTTGAATCTCCAGCTCTGGAGCATGGCCGAGCATGAGATGACTTGTGCGATAAGTGTACACAATGTTGTCTTTGCATACTGCGTAGATTCTCGATCCATTGGAGCTGAGATTGAGAGCTGTAATTCCGAAATCTCGGTAGTTCACGTGCCATGGCGGGAGAGCAGTGCCCGAGATGGGTAAAGTGCGCTGTTTGCTTGACACAGTACGAATATCCCACAACTTGACCGAGGCGTCAGCTTCGCATGCAGAGAGCAGTAAATGGTGAAGACCCTCATGCAGGAATTGTAAAGCAGTGACAGATACATCTGCCGATCGACTTAGAGATTCCGAGCGGCTTGCAGCTTCCCCACGACTAGCTAGATCAGTCCATCCAGCAGTAGAGGGTTGAGATCGACCAGGAAGGGGCCTATGTGAGTCCGTAATACTGTTGAGAGGACGAGGATACAAGATATCTTGATCGACTGCGCGAGATCGTGCGCCAGTCCGCCTTTCGATGACTGGTGTCCACATTTTACATTGTGGACCACTGTGCCCTTTGCATCTCAGATCCCATATTTGTATAGAACCATCTCTGCCGGAAGTGGCCAGGACATTCTTGTTGTTTGCACCGGGCTGAAATCGAACTTGCTTCAAGGATGCAGTGTGAATGCCAAGTATCGCAATCGTCGTTTGAGTGCCCATATCCACCACACGAGCACTTTGGTCCCCAGACGCTGTTGCAAGAAGGCTGTCATCGTCAGAAAAGGTCATATCAATGATAGCATTGGTATGGACACGAAAACCAAGGAAATTCTTTTGAAAACTTGGCTTTCCACCTTTAGCAGACTCCAAGAGTCGAACTCGACCTTCTTCATCTCCAACCGCGAGGAGAGAGCTGTCTTTATGATATCAGTCATCTAACTCTATACAGGTCAGGCACGACGACTTACTATTTAAGCCGAGAGCAACAAAAGGAATAGTACGTCTCGGCTCTTCGCCCAAGCTCATGATATCGTGAACATCTTCCGGTTTGCTGCAGAAATTCGCTGTAGAATCACGCCAGTCTGGCAACGTCAGTATTACTCCTTAGCCGCTTCCTGAGTACATACCATTGACCGGATAGCTGTGGTGCACGCGTCCGGAACGTCCTGCATTGCCCAGCTCCATCTCGAATAGTTGTGCGGAAAGACCGCCATTGCGATTCCAACGCAGAACCGGCGTTGCAGTATCCTTTGAGCTGATTCTGCCAGGACAAACTACTTGATCTCTGTCCTCATCCTCGTCCTCGTCCAGGGTTCCATCATGCTCAAAGGCAAGGTGACTTCCCTGCGGGCATGGTGACGACGGAACAACATCGTCCTTCGATTCACCCTTCGATTGAGATTGTTGTATTCTATCGAGACCGAGGTTCTTTGTACTCATAACCGAAGGTTGAGTACTTGAAGCCAATGTGTGGAATCTTTTCTGCCGTTTCGACTGTCTTGGAAGGTCAGGGGGGTTATTTTCTTCATCGAAGCCTTTCGATTGTAATGGGCTGGACTGGACGTTTAATGCTGAGGAAGCGCCAAAGGAGCGGACATTGAATAAGACACGACGGGTTGGTTGACGCTGGTGGAGAGGCTGCGAGCGAGGCGTAAAGAATCTTGTGAACTTTCGAGGAGTAATAGTCGGGTTGCGCTTTTCTCTTGTGCTCGCGGATCTTCTTGGAGGTCTTTGTGGGGATGAAGTGACTGTTGCTTCGGAGGATCTATCCATTTCATTGTTCTCTGCTTTCCGTCGCGAAGCCATGATGGCTGAGTATTAAGTGTTGAGTATTTCGTCGACCTCCAGATATGAACAGTATTCCTCGGTGTGGAAGTTGTGTGGTTGAAGGTCGACTTGGAGATTCACACTTAACGCGAGAACGAGCTTCGAGCTCTACCGCGTCTGGGGTTTCGCGTTGTGACAGAACGAGCGGCCGCACTTTCCGCTTCACCTGCGCCCGCTTCCCGATAACTCTGGTGGCTGTTGTTATCTTAGCGTGCTTCAAAGAAAAATTATAGGTGGGTGGGAAGATTGAACGATAAAAAATATCAGCTTTGCTGGACAACATCACACTTCACCAACATCATGGGTATCCAGAAGAAGCATGGAAAGGGTCGCCTTGACAAGTGGTACAAATTGGCCAAGGAGAAAGGATACCGCGCCCGAGCTGCATTCAAATTGATACAGCTGAACAAAAAATATGGCTTCTTGGAGAAGAGCAAAGTATTGCTGGATCTTTGCGCTGCACCTGGAGTTAGTGTTCCCATACCCATTTGATGAAGATGCTGGCTAATTAGAATATACAGTCATGGTGTCAAGTAGCGGCAGAGACTATGCCTGTGGGAAGTCTTATTGTCGGAGTTGATCTCTCCCCCATCAAGGCCATTCCAAGAGTCATTACCTTCCAGAGCGATATTACGACAGATAAATGCCGAGCGACTATCCGATCACATTTTAAGACGTGGAAGGCGGACACCGTTCTACATGATGGCGCACCGAATGTTGGTACGGCTTGGGTGCAGGATTCTTTCAACCAGGCGGAATTGGCTTTGCAGGCGATGAAATTGGCGACTGAGTTCTTGGTGGAAGGCGGCACGTTTGTCACAAAAGTGTTCAGATCCAAAGATTACAACAGTCTGCTTTGGGTGTTCAATCAACTTTTCACCAAGGTCGAGGCAACGAAACCGCCTTCTTCACGAAATGTCTCCGCAGAAATCTTCGTCGTCTGTCGTGGATTCAAAGCTCCTAAACGAATTGATCCTAAGTTTCTGGATCCTCGCTCTGTCTTCGCAGAACTATCAGACCCTACACCGAACAATGAAGCTAAGGTCTTCAATCCCGAAGTGAAGAAGCGGAAGAGGGATGGTTATGAGGATGATAACATGACACAATTCAAGGAGGTTCCAGCTAGCGAATTCATTCAAACTACGGACCCTATTGCTATTCTGGGAAGCTTGAACCGACTGAGCTTCGAACAGCCACCGAACGGCGACGTTGCTCTTGCAGCCCTCGACAAATTGCCAGAGACTACCCAGGAGATTCGAAACTGTTGTGCAGATCTACGAGTACTTGGAAGGAAGGAATTCAGGAATCTTCTGAGATGGCGACTGAAAGTCCGAGAGAAGTTTGGATTTGCAACGAAAAAGTCTGCCAAAGCTGCTGCGGAGGAGGAAGTTGCAGCAGTAGAACCAATGGACGAAGAGTTGAAGATCCAGGAAGAGCTGCAAGCTCTGAGCGAAAAGGACAGTGCCCGCAGAAAGCGTGATCGTCGAAGAGAAAATGAGAAGAAGCAAAGAGAGGTGGTTCGAATGCAGCTACACATGACAGCCCCTACAGAGATTGGACTTGAGCAAGCAGGGCCTAATGGCGAAGGATCGATGTTTGGACTGAGAACTGTCGACAAGTCCGGGGCTGCGGATAAGATTGCGAAGGGCAAAATGGCAATTTTGACGGAAGCTGATTTACGAAAAGATCGCGATAGTGGATTTGCGTCTGGCGATTTTGATGGAGAAAGTGACGAAGAGGAAGATCGACTGGATAGAGAGCTCGACTCTATGTACGAGCAATATCAGGAGCACAAGTCCGCTGCAGACGCCAAGTTTCGAGCAAAGAAGGCTCGAAAAGAACACGAAGACGGCGAATGGGAGGGCTTTTCTGCGGAGGAGAATGTTAGTGACGACGATGAGCTTGAAGAAGACAGCAGTGACGAGTCTGAGGCGGGGGATATGATTTCAAAGCGTTCCCTACTAACAGACCTCACTCGCGACGAGAAGAAGTCAAATGGGCTGTCACGGCGAGCTGCTCAATTCTTTGACCAGGACATATTCAAGGATATAGGTGGTTTACCTGAAGAGTCCGAACCTGATGAACCGGAAGAAGATGAAGAAGAGATCACTGCAGACCTCGACCAGTTAGACGCTATGAGACAGGAAGAAGATGAGGACGAGTCCATGGCTGAGATTGAAGAGATTGAGCCTGAGTCTGACAGAGAGGATGACGAGGACGGTTTTGAAGTGGTCAAGCGGTCAAAAGATGACGATCAGTGGGAAGACGAGCCTCGAAAGGACGGCAAACTTGGTAAGTATTCAAAAACACCCCTGAACTACATATCTGATCTTCCATAGATATCGACATAATTACCGCCGAAGCGATGACTTTGGCGCAACAAATAGCATCAGGTGCAAAGACTAAGCAAGACCTTATTGACGAGGGCTTCAATAAGTACGCTTTCAAAGACCGAGATGGTCTGCCAGAGTGGTTTCTCGATGACGAAGGTCGTCACGACAAGCCCCACCGACCTATTAGCGCAGCCGCAGCAGCTGCTATCAAAGAGAAGCTGCGCGCCCTGAACGCTCGACCTATCAAGAAAGTCCGCGAAGCAAAGGACAGGAAGAAGTTTAAGGCTGCTCAACGTTTGGAGAAGTTGAGGAAGAAGTCTGCCTTGTTGCAAGACGAGGAAGGCATGACAGAGAAGGAGAAGGCGCAGAGTATTGTGAAATTGATGAGCAAGGCGGCCAAGAAGAAGCCCAAGCAGCAGGTTAAGGTCGTTGTTGCTCGAGGGGGAAACAAAGGTATTGCTGGTAGACCGAGAGGTGTGAAGGGTAAGTATAAGATTGTGGATGCGAGACTGAAGAAAGATGTTAGAGGTGAAAAGAGAGCGGCCAAAAAGAAGAAATGATGTACTCAATAAGAGGAAATCTCATCGTTTCACAACACGTCTGTATGGGCCGTGTTAGCTCTTGGAAACACTCACAGAATGCACCCAGAAGTGAAGGGGCCTAAAACAAGAGTTGATATTTCGGCCAGGTTTTTTTTTGCGTAAGTTGGCTTTCCATTGACTTTCCAACTCAAAAAGTTTCTGTACAATTTTGTGAACCAGGATCAGCTATTCCTTTTTGAACTTCCACCACTCTCTTGTCCCCCTTTCAAGCGACGAATATCGCGGTCTACTGTCTCGATTTTCTCACGGACTACATCGAGTCGACCTTCACTACTAGATGTTAACAGTTTCTCGTCAATCCATGGCATTTCGAGACATACAACTTGGTATTCCAAAATGAGATGCCAAAGACAATACATGCAACGGGGCCAATCGCGTTAGGCAATGTGACAATCCTAAAGAGGCGCGAAGTTACAGACATTTCGTCAAGATGATGCGAGCGAATGGCTAGGGTTTTGGGTTGATGAAGCTGATGAGAAGACTTTTGGCGTGACTAGATTTCCTAGTTTGACGTCGAGGGGAGCAAGAAATTATTAGGGATCTTTCAAAGATAGACTTCGAGACTAGGATTTCTTGGATTCGAGACCTTGCTCCTTCTCGAGCGTTTTTAAAGCCCACCGCTTCTTGTTGTATCCAGTGTTCAAGGATTGATAGTTGCGATACCTGGGGAGGCTGTCAGCTTTCATGTTATTTTCGAAAGTAAAAAGTTTACTTACAACCGAATGCTGTAAGCGCCCTGCAGAGCAAGACCGAAGTATGTCAAGCTAAGCAGAAATTTGTCGATACGAGCGTATTTTAAAGGAGACATGGAGGTTGTGAGATGATCGATATTGTTCCTTGAAACTTTCGAGTGAGGAGAATCATGTGCGGACAAGATGTGCTAGCTTCCGATCGGTACCAAATCTGATTACTGTAGTAGTCCCGCCAAGCCGATGATGTAATTATTCTCACTACTAAATCTTCCCCTCAATAGCTTAGAATGGAGCAAAAACTTCCTAGGTATGTTCTCCTCAATTTGAAAATCCACGTGAGTGATGCATGAATAGGGGCTTAGACCAGTAAGTGAGCATGTTCACTCAAAGTTGTTGATAGACATAAGCGACTAATACGGGATATCGATGACGCCGTTTGCCACAGAATTGCAATCCGGATTACCCATATTCCCTCCATTGCCAAACAACAACTTCTTGTTTCCCTCCACAGTAATGATCCTCAGACTACGCGAGTAAGCCGACCACTGGCCCACATCAACCACTTTCCATTCCGTAGGATCAGCACCGTCACCGTTGATGAAGACTTGTTCAGTACTGCCACTACTAGCAATAAGAACACCTGACCCGTTTGTGTTGGATGGGTTGGGGGTCCAGATAATATAAGGAGAGCCGTAAGGGACAGTCCCAGCAGTATCGTTTCCGACAAGAGCAATCCCGGTGGTAGAGTTGAAGAGAAGGGGGTTTGAAGACATCTTGTAGTGAACTGTGCAATTCGCAGATCCACAATACTCGTAGGTCATGATGTATTGATCGGTAGACTCGATATATGCGACTGTGGTCATGCCTGGTCGATCATCGTATGTATAGTATGAGACATCTTCGATAGTGGAGGACCAAGTCTTCAGACCGGTTGTCGTGACATGGACGAGCTTTTGGGAATGTGCCGGATCGCGTTGATCGGAGAAGTAGCATACTAACTCGTTGTTATACATCATGAGAAACGGTTCCCAGATTGCTTCATCACCGCTGGTGATGATCTCAGGACCGGCTCCATAAGCAATGTGGCTGACAAAGTTCCAGGTTTCTGCGCTGTCTGTACTAGCATACAGTTCAATGTAGACACCTCCTGTCAAACTCTCGGGGGCCGAAACACCAGCGGCAAGTAAGTCACCCGCAGCATAACCTCCAAAAGCTTGTGGCAACGTGTATAGGAAGGGTTGAAAGCGCATGCCCCAACCGTTGACTTGGTCTTTGACTGCAGAGAAGTTGGAGTATGTCGCACCTCCATCTGTCGATTTGTATATGGGGTGATTGACCAAGGGAGGCTCTGCTGCATAATTCTCCCATGTCATCAGGAGAGACTCATCTGGTAGCTGGAGAGAGCGTGCGTAAAGAGTCTTCCATTCCACGGCGTCTGCGGCTGGGAAGAAGAAAATGTTATCATTGAAGTCCGTGTTAGCTGCGGGTGTTGGATTTGGAGTAACACATTGAGCTGAGGTTGAGAGAATGTTTGGAGTCAGGAGAAGGATACTGGCAAGCGAGAGGTAATACATGACGCTTCGAAGATTTGTATTGGAAGAACTTTGAGATCTTGGAATGCTGGTGGTTCAAGTCCTGTCTTTCAGTAGATGCTGCACTTGAGGGACTTTATATACTCGTCCTACGATCTTGAGGAGGAAGTCTTTTTTTTTTTGTTAAGGCGAGAAGCGAGCTGCTCCAGGTGAATACGAAAGCACGGAGCAGGTAATTCCACTTCTGATATTTCTCATAAAGATCGACGAACTTACAGACGACTTAGGAAGGTGTTTTCCCCACAGATGATCATCCTTGTGGGGTATGCATCGGCTCCGCTGCTCTGGAGGAGCAGAGTTTGCGGATGAAGAAGATAGTCTTTTCGGCCTTGGCCAAGTAACTTCGTCACTTGTGGATTGTTCCGACTGCAGGGACATCATTAATCCGTCTTGGGGAGTGTCGGCAACTCCCTACGAGCTGCCCCGCGAATCCCAATTGAGACGTTAAAGAGAGGACTAAATCCACAAGATCTGGTTGTGGCCCCTGACTGGCGGCGGCTCGCTTACTGTAGGAAGAAGCGCACCAAACGGCGTGAACACCTGAGCCGACTTCGTACTGTACTTTGGTTAGGTAGTCCCTTCTAGCTTGCGGGGTTGGGCTGCCATGATGGCGAATACGATCATGTATCGAATTTATATTCTCCCGACACTCCCCGGATCCCAGAATTGAACCTTCCACATTGCAGTTCACATATGTTTTTGCTCAACTCGACATGCAGCAGCAAGAACTCTCCTCGGCACCGGCGAACGATCACGTTCGTCGATTGACCAAGCGAACGATTTCAGTCAGTCGGGGTAGTGCTGCATACCCCAGGAAACGAGCTGTCACTGCATGCCAAGTTTGTCGGTACGTCAAGTGATGCCCTTGTTTTGCATTGTTCCAGGAGCCGGATCTTCGGGTTCATGGGCAGCTGTCTATCAGAACATATAGATATAGCGCAAGTCTCCGCATGGGCACCTCGCCTCCTAGTTCTCTGTCAAAACTTTATATCAATTCGACCTGGTAAAAGAGCTCGACGAACCAAATGCGACCAAAAGAAGCCATCATGTTCATTCTGCGAGAGCATTGGAGCCGAGTGTACTTCGGATCCAGGAACCATACCGTCCACATTCGATCCTGCAAGCATTGCCATTCTTGAGCGGTTGCATAACTTAGAAAGCAAGTTCGATTCTATAGCCTGTATTTCACTACGGGACGATGCCGAAGCTGGTCACCTGCGCCGTGGGAAGGGTAGCCGGGAAGAGACACAAGTCGACCTGCGTTTAGAAAACTTCTTGCCGGAAACACTGGATACAATCTTGAAGTGGCCAGTCTTTCGGAGTTTGGATCTACCTGTTGTGTCAACACCAGGCCAATTCAGCCCAGTCTCGGTACAATCATCCACGCAAGCACCAGCCATGAGCGATGAACTTAATCCAGCGGTATGCAACCAATGGCTCGATGGCTTCTTCCGTCACAGTCATTGTAAGAATCCTGTTCTCGATGAACAACAAACTCGTCGGTTGGTCCGGCGGATATGTCAGGAAGGGTAGGCTGGGATATCGAATCATGTCTAGCACTTCTTGTGTGTGCGAACGGTGCACTGGCCTGTCCTCTGTCCAGTCCTTCTGCCTCTGCAGACGAGATGACATCTTCGGTCTCTCATGTTCTATTTACGACAGCACTCAAGCGGATTGGGTCGACCTTGGGCTCTGCTGGTATCGTTCAGGCACAATGTTTATTTCTTGCGGGAGTCTTTCTGATGTCATGGCGCATGTTTCTGCAAGCACTCGCTGTTTCTCAAAGCTTCATGTCTTGTGACAGCCGAAGATCTAACGCAGCCGAAGAAAGCATATATTGGTCCTCGTGGAAGTCGGAGAGGGAATTGAGATGGGAGTTGGGCCTACCTGACTTCGGTGAGATGGGAGGCGAGACGCCGCGATCTTTTCCGAGCTGTTCTGAGGCTGATGGAGATGATAATCTTCGCGCTTGGTATTTTTATTTGTCCGATATCTCGCTTTGGCGGTTGGAGACAGCAGCCAAGAAGGATATGAGGACATTAGTGGACGAAAAACCAGCTCGGATCTATGACAAGTTGATTGATTTTGCGGAGGAGAGTCTTCAGCGTGTCACAAACTGGAGAGATTCGCTAGCAGCCAGTGTCAGCATTGCAGAGGATGACTTTCCAAAAGGTGATGACGGCGACATTCTCAAGTTTGTTCTCAAAGGACGAACCACTTACTTCCATGAGCTTATCACGTGACCGTTCATTGACGCGGTGATCAACTATAGACAGGAGGCCTCTGGAGTTAGACGGTGGGCAGCATAGGGTTTTGCTTTTCATCTCGAGAGGTTGGAAATCAATCGTCCGGGTTATTACCACCGGCATCATGGCACTTGGCTAATGATACGATCTTCAGCTCGAAGTGCATGTATTCTGCTTGCAGCAGCCCAAAATTCGTTCACTGCTCAGCTCCTACCATCCAACTGGCAAGAGGCGGTTGAAGCGACGATTTTGATGATTCGATTCTGGAGCAGTGGTTGCGAAGGATTGGCTTCTGTAGCTCACCTCCTCGAGTGTCTTTTCAAGATTGAAGCGATCAAAATCTAAGCTTTTGTATCTATTTACGGACCTTTGAGTATCTGCGCATACAGCGCAAATAGCGAGAATCGCGCTTTCAGCGAAATCTGCGCAGTGTGCGGCTTCTCCTCTCTTAAATTCCTTGATACTGTGCTATCAATCTCCTCTGATCTTCTGATTTATGAAAACACCGATCATGCTTTAGTTGCTGTCCAATACCGCTTACAGTCTTGCCCTGCGCAGAAATGTAGACTCTCGGACTGCCTTCGAGTCACCTGCAAAGCTGGCAACCTCAATTGTGACTTCCTTTCCTGGTAAAACAAATGTTCCACCCACCCATCGCTGCAGAGGTCTTACCGACACATCCATCATGATGTTCTTGGATACGCCTGCATCTAAATCCATGGGGTGGAATCCTAATAACACTCGAGATGGAAAGTCGGGCATGTCAACAAGTCCGTAAACCTGAATAACATGCCTACCACGACGTGCACCTTCGTTTGAAACCTTGACATGAATCAGTAACGTATCCGAATTATTGCCACAGCCCAAGGAGCCAATTCGAAGCTCCGAGGTCGAGAAATTCGTGTATGAAAGGCCAAAACCCAGAGGAAATCTCGCCTTGTGACCATTCCTGTCGAGCAAGTTCTGGCCGTGCCATCTATCGTACCTGATATTTGTCGCCTCCATATCAAAGTAGGGAAGATGACTCTCATCCTTGGGAATGGAGAAAGGTAATCTTCCGCTGGCATCAACCTTGCCAAAGAGGACGTCCGCTAAACCATCGCCGCCTTCTGAGCCCGCATACCAACTCATAACCAACGCAGGGACTTTGTCTATCCACTCTTCCATGATAACGGCACCGGCTGCTATCACGGACACGACTGTGTTTGGATTTGCCGCTGTGACGGCTGAAATCAACTCCACATCCTGTGGTCGAAGTCGGAGCGAGCGGCGGTCTCCACCAGCGCCGACTTCAAGTCCAGAATCTAACTTGTCACCATTGCTGTGACCTTTCAAAATGGCAAGTGTTGCCTTTTCCTCCGGAGTGTTCGCAGGAGGAAACAAGTTCAGTAAGCAAGGATCAGATTGTAATGAAGGAACAACATATTCTCCCTCATCTGTGGCATCGTATCCTACCACACAGAGAACAAGGTCGACCTCTGACGCCAACTCTGCTGCCCGTTCCGCAGAATCGCTGTCTTCGAGAAATATTCGAGCGTCAGGAAAGGCTTCTTTTATACCATCAAATGGTGTTCCCACATTGGGAGCAAAGACTTGAGAAGATCCTTTGTCACCTGTGTTGGGAACATTAGCGAGTCGTCCGACCATGGCAACCGTCGAGAACTGTTTCGCGTCCAGCGGAAGCAGAGGCCGGGAAGCGGCAGAGTCTATCGGTAGTGATTCATTCTTCAAGAGAACCATTGAGCGCCCGGCAGCTTCTCTCGCCAGCATTCTGTGCCGGTCACAGAAAACAGCGGAGAGATCTGCTTGGCTTCCACTATCGTTCGCTGCGAACTCAAGTTCCTTCTGCAGAATTCTTGAACAGGCCATGTTCACAATTGACCAGTCTAATTCTCCAGACAGTGACTCCAGCGCTGCTACAAGGTGCATCTCTCTTTGTTGTCGGAAAGGCGCCTCGATATCTAAACCATTTCTCAGCGAAAGAGCAGCATTCCGGAGACCAAAATGAAGTCAGAAATGACAAAGCCATCGAACTTGTACTCTCCTCTGAGAATGTCTGTGAGAAGAGAGCTTGACTTTGTCCAGCCCATTCCCCATTGACGGAATTGTACGAAGACATCACCGAGGCCACACCACCCTCAATGATCCGCCGGAAATGAGGAAGATAAACCTCATGCAATACATCTTCGTCAACAGTCACATCCACACGAAAGCGAGCATTTTCCATTGAATTCAGCGCAAAGTGCTTCACACACGCCATCACATGTTCTTGCACACCCTGTGTAAGAGCAAGACCAAATTCTCCCAATAGCACCGGATCCTCTCCATACGTCTCTTGAATCCGACCCCAAGCTGGATGGCGAGGTACATTCACACACACGCCGGCGAAATAGTTGGATCCCTGGGCTTTTGCTTCTAGTCCGATTGCACGCCCAACTCTGCGCTCCAATTCTATATCCCAGGTTGCACCTCGGGCCATTGACACGGGAAATGCGGTCGATGCGCCCATGACTACCCCACGAGGACCGTCAGTGAAGCGAATTCCGGGGATTTTCAAACGGGGGATGGAACCCATCACAAAAGGTACGCGATTGTATCTGTCGCATAATATTTCTCGAAGTCCAGCATAGAAGGGTACATCTCCATCTAAGAGAGAGAGCTGCTCTTCATTACTGAGTTCTGAGAGTAGCCGTTGTGTCGCGAGAGATAAGGATTCTCCTTTCCGTAAGGCTTGAACGGCATCCTCGAACGTGTAAGTATTGTAGAGCTTTCCGAGTTTCTCGGATGCGAATCTTTGCTCAGAATGGACTCTGTGGTGGTGGTCGTCGTCATTTTGCTGACGGTTCAGAACTCTAGAAAAATGCCTAGGAAGAGAAAGAAAGAGAGTCGAACGTTGATTTGAAAAAGAGAAGCAAAAGAGGCTCTGCGAAATATTCTATTTTACCTAGTTCTTCGATGTATGATATCGAGCATGGAAAAATGGGGTCAGATATCGCTTCACATTAAGACTTGTGCATGTGATTCTGGGATACTTCTTCTGTATTGGAGAACTGATTAGGGGAACATAATTGTTGCCGATACTCCGCATGCACGGGAAGCGTCAAGAAAGTTAAGAGCGGACTAAAAAAGGTGCAACTTGGCCTAGTGATACCTACCCCTTTTTGCCGTAGCCGAGTTGATCATGTATGCGCACGAATGAGAGATCGCTTCACGAGTGAACGATCCACAATCTTGGTTCCGAATAACCACCTGGGCTCTTTAAATACAAACAAGATGCGGCTGGTTGCCACCAAGACTTGATCTGACGAGGCAATATTGCGGATGTGGGGAGCGTGGCCGCGGGGACCCCGCAGGGATGCCATGTGCATCAAGGAACTTCTCACTTGAATGCAATACTCTCTCGTGTTTATATGCCAGGAATATTCTCTAGGAGTTTCTTTGCCGATCTTAAAACCCAGCTCAATTGTTAAGGGAGAGAAACTCTTCACTTCTCCAGCCTACTTCAAGTCACCACCCCTTAGCTGCCCAGCATGCCGCTCAGTCCCAAGACTTACCAAGTAAGCTATTCTGGCTCAATCACCTTATAGTATCTATTAACACATCAACCAGTTCCTGGTAGGAGTCTTTGCTTCCTTCGGGTCGTTTCTCTATGGGTATCTACCTCGCATAAATCCCTCAAATACAATTGCCGACATTCGTGTAGATATGATCTTGGTGTTATTGCGGGAGTTATTGCTTCTCCAGCCTTTCTATCGACTTTCAATAATCCAAGCGCAAATGAAACGTAATATTGCCCCCTTCGCATAGCGGAGCTAGCTAATACTTGCTCAGAGGTGCTGTTGTATCAGTTTTCACTGGAGGCGCCTTCTTTGGAGCTGCCCTTGCCGGACCCATGGGTGACTGGTTTGGCCGAAGACTTACCATTATGACGGGTGCCCTTATCTTCTGTGTCGGCGGTAGTCTCCAGACAGCCGCTCAAAATCTGGGGTACCTTTACGCCGGGAGAGCTATTGCAGGATTGGGTATTGGCATCAATTTATGATTATCCCACTATATCAAGCCGAGATTGCGCACTCTTCCATCCGTGGACGAATTACCGGTCTCCAACAATTTGTATTGGCGGTGGGAGCTCTTGTTGCTAGTGAGTTAAGTTGATTTGGTGCTCCAATACCACACACTGATAAATATTTTCTAGCTTGGACTACCTTTGGTACCAACCTCAACATTAGCAAAACCAGCAATGCCCAGTGGCGTATTCCTCTTGCAATGCAGCTTGTCCCTGCAATCATCTTGGCCCTCCTTATTCTACTCTTTCCGGAATCCCCCAGGTGGCTCATCGATCATGGGAAGCCAGACCAAGGCTTGAAGACACTCGCACGACTACATGCAAATGGCGACGTTAACAACGTCTGGGTCCGATCCGAGTACGAACAAATTGAAGCAGCCATCACCCACGAGCACGAAGAAGCCGCCAAAGGCTATGTGGCTTTGTTCAAAAATAAATCAAGCTTCCGACGTCTCTTGCTTGTGCTCGCACTCCAAGCCTCTGTACAGATGACTGGAGTGTCAGCCATTCAGTATTTCTCTCCAACGATCTATGCGACCTTAGGCATTGGCACTCAGTTGGCATTAAAATATCAGGGTATCAGCAACGCCCTGTCTACCATCGCCACAATCTGTACGATCCTATTCATCGACCGACTCGGCCGCAGATGGCCCTTGATCATCGGTAATCTGATCAATTGCGTCTGTTTCATTATCGTCACGGCTGCAATTGCGCCTTTCCCAACCGCATCGCCGTCAGCCAGCATTCTCTTGGTTGGACATTCATATGCATGAACTGAGTCTATCAGATCTCGTTCTCGTTCACTTGTGGCTCACTATCCTGGATCATTCCTGCCGAAATTTTCGACACCCACACCAGATCTAAAGGTGTTTCCCTTGGTGCCATGATGTCGTTCGCTTTCAGCACCATGATTGGGCAGGTCACGAAACCTGCTATCGAAAGTATCAGCTGGCGGTACTTCATTCTATTCGTTGTGTGCAATTTCACCAATGCTCTATTTTTCTGGGCGTTCATGCCTGAAACCGCGAAGCGCCCCTTGGAAGAGATGAATGCGCTATTCAGTGGCTCGTCGTGGTTTGTTCCGACGATGAAGAGAGCCGACTACGATTCTCATGACTTGGAATACAGGGTAGCAGAGAACGAACAGAAGGTACATACGATCGCTGTCGAGCATTCGGAAGATTAAGGTTGTTGATGTGGGATTAGGCTGGTACTCAGTGATGTGTTGACTTTCTTGCTGTGGTTCTGGAATTTTTATCCTTAGTAGATTCTTGGGCACTTACTTTCAATACATAGGATAGAAAGACTTCCGCAATGGAGGCAACTTATACAGGCTGAATATATAGTAACTCTTTCCTTTGCCAGAAGATCAAAGTTTGATTACATGCTATATGCTCCGCTTCAAGTTAGTGCTCGGGAGGCTTGCTAATCGTGCTGTGTAGACACTGCGCACAATCGATCCGAGAAGCCATTTTCCTATTGAACAGGAGGAATTTTCATGGGCTCGGTCATCTTTAGAGTTCGCGGTTGCAGACCTCCTCGCTTCGCCCAAAACTCCATGCTCAAGAGTAGCCTGTAGAGATCAACCTTTAGTTGATGCCATCTAACCCAAACTTCCTCGCACCATTGATGATCTCATTATTCTTCAGAATTTGCTTGTCCTTAACCACGGTACCGTCCTCTAATTTCAGTTCGATGCAGACAACATTGTGGCAGCTATCACGAGAACGGCCGCATTTGTCACATTTGGTCTTCGTAGTCCACCTGTACTCACGGCACTGCGTGTATATCAATATTTATGATCAGTACATAGAGGGAGAAGACCTTACTTGATCACATTTCCAATGCGTGTAAGTCCTTGATTTTGCGTCCATTACACTGAGAAAATAGATCGGCTGAGAATTGGAGAGCGCAGGCGCTGTGACTTTCTTTGATTTGAAAAACATCTTAGGTATTTGGTGTTGCGCTTTGATGTTTTGGTATTTTGAATATGTTGGTAGAGACGAGCATTGTGTTCAGTCCTTGAAGATTAAAGTACTCAGGGATAAGCGCAACTTTGAATCACTAGGCACAATCACACTAGTGCTTGCGACAGAAGAAATTTGATGAATGGCATAAGACAGTTGAGTAATGACAGGATAGGTGTGGAAGCGCCAGAGTGTTATGACTCGGTCTTCAGGATAACTCAATTGACTCCAAGAAGCGCTTCTTCCCTGCTCTCAAAATCCCACGTTCCTGTTGGATCTCACCAATTGTAATCACAGTCAACCATCTGTCTCCTGTATGTCATGTTAAAGATGTCATTGCCTATCGAAATATCCAAATCTTTGCATCTAAATCTAAACCTCCTGACTCAAAGAGCTCTGAATCTCAAATCAAGTGAAGAATAACCTTCTGAAGTATCCTCCTATTGTCCGGCGGAGATGGCCCTTGTACCCACGTACTGCACTAGACTTCAATATTTTGTCTGAAGGTACTTGTGAACACTTCCCAAAACCACTCTTAATCAGTATTCATTAGTAGCCTAGAATAAAAGAAAGCTTCATTCTTCCCTACACGTGAGCATTTCTCAAATAGGGGCTGACGCGAAAATAAGCGAGTGCTACTGTAGCCACAATAACCTCAGACGACAATTCGGCCCACCAAAGTCCATTTCCATTTTTGGACCTGAGTAGCTGCTCTGGCCTTAGTCGAGCCCTGAGATCTGAGATCTGAAGATTTTGGAACCTTCCCTGTCTTAAACGAATCAAGCATCGACGCCAGCTTTGAAAAGACGTCCAGCCCAATTGAAGGCAGAGATTGAGGTAAGGGTCGGTGATGTAGGGATAAGGTTATGATGGAGGGTGGGCGAAGTCAGGCCTTGACTTTAGTGAACGTGTTTCCGGTATTGGTCGGATTGAGGCTCCAGCTAGAAAGACGTCTTTCACTTTTCTTTTAAACTCCAAGAGAAAGTTTTCAACGGCGGGGTGGAGCTTCTGTGCCACAGAAATTCATTCATGATATCTGCTGGAAGCTAATTCATGTACAGGAACCGGCATATATCCTGCAACTTCGTGCTGGTAAGGCTCCGGTTTGTTCGATCCCATCTCTGCATACGCAGTTTCCCCACCAAGTTCATGAGGGTTCCCTTTGATAAGCCCTCCACTTGTCACATCTGCAGGTCCTCTAACCGCAGCCTGCCGCCTCTTCTTCCTCAAGATGAACCGCGTCAGCCCTGCTAGAGCAATAATAGCAATCACAGCTGCGGCAACGCCGATTCCCGCCTTAGCCCCTGTACTCAGCCCAGATTGTGTGCCTTTGGGAGTCGCCGAAATTACCAAGCCCGTGGCTGTCGAAGTTGAAGTCGAAGTAGAGCTCGAGGTGGAGGAAGTTGAAGTCGACTGATTCGCGACCCCAATTATAGCATCAAGTTTCACGCCCAGCCCTTTACTGCAACATGCTGTGTTGGTGCTGCCGCAACACCAACTTCCGTCTGAGCATTGTATTAATGGAACGTTGTCGGATGCATCTCCGCCATTCTGTACGGAGACTGATTAGATCTATGCTAGCATAGTGTGTCTTGGAATCAAGTACATACTGAGGAGTTGGTACACAGATTCGAGAGACAGAGCGGGCTTTTCCAGGTCGGATCTGTGCAGGATCCGCGCCAGTACAAGGGCTCGTTGTCACTTGGGTTGTTGTTCAGACAAAGTCCATTGGGCATGCACTTATCATCTGCAACTATTGGATTGGTAGCAGTCCACTGGAAATTGGTCGTCAGCGCTTCCCACCATTCTATTTCAGATTGATCCGATTTGGGTTCGTTCTGAGAACAGGAGCACGGGTCATCTTCAAAATGAGGGCACGAAACCTCAAGAAACTCCATACTTACATTTGTACCGCAACATTGCGAGAACGTTCCTACTGTTTGCACGCAAGGCTGATAAGCAGGGCTGGTCTTAGCAGTACCATCGGGATTATAGCAAGTTGAAGAGACGAGCACAACGTTGGAGAGCAACGCAAATAGAAACTCAAATTCCCTGAGAGAATGAGAACTCATCATGGATACTAACGAGGTAGAAGAGAAGAGAGGAATGGGTGCAAACTTTTGCATCTAGTCCGCAGAGAGGGGGCAGGTTATTTTAAGTGTGGTAGGAGCAGCTCTTCCCTGTTGAGGGAGGAGGTAAAACAGTAGCAAGGACCAGGTGGCGACTTTGAATGAACCACTGGGTTTGAACCCCAGTGGGATCTGTCGCTCGCCTCTAGGCGCCAGTTTTGGGAGCGGGGCTGGCCTATCAGTCCCCGAGGATGACAGAGTGTGTCCCCCTGTGCCACACCCGTCCTCGCTTAGGGCTCCTGCGCCTCCGGTTGATCGTGATACACCAGATCGACCCGGGAAATTGGTATTTCCTGATAACAAGCCCAAATTGAGGCTGAGAAGTATTCGAAAAGCGTGGTGTTGTGGATTGCACCCAGACTAATCCGGGAGCCAATTGACGGGTTCCAGAGGGCAGGATTTAGCGAGCACCCCTATTGTTTTGCCGTCGCTGAGTGTAACAACATCTGTCCCTATAGCAAGCATAGAGGAAGTAATGAGATCGTCATCTCCTCTTTTACTACGGCCTCTTTCCATGGAGAGTCTATGGAGTCAATAAAAAATACAACATTACGGCTATGAGAAAGCCAAACAAGGCTGAGACAGCGGAGTTGACCCACGAGAGTGCTTATGGTTATGTTCGGCAATATGATGCAGCCCCCATGAAAAGTAGTGCAAAACTTTCACCCCTATGTATTAGCGAAATGCACACTAAGGAGCCTCTGGGTCTAGCGAGATGCTTCTTGTCGGGAAAGGCCCTCCAATCCTTCCAAAAGTAATCAGCATATTCCACTGAAGTTAAACAGAAACGTCCTCCCAAATAACTTCAATAACCGACCATCTAGAGCCCGGAATCCTTATGACCCCTTTGAAATTAAACCTCGAATCGCTCTTGGTAAACAATTGGGCCCACTGATCTACGTCTCGCTCTCTCCCATTCAGACACGCTTTCATGACCATGTCGGTCGCTCTAGTGATCTGGTCAGTAAGTATGTAGTGATCTAATAGCCCATAGATATACCTCATTCGCCTTTCAATGGAATACGAAATGGATCCAGGTTCCGGTAAACAAACTTTGCCAGTCACGATTCTGGCCCCATGCTTAAGAGCCGGAATGAGTTTTCGAAGAATTCGAATACTGTATTTATCAGACCAATCGTGGAAGATCCACCGGAACAAATATGCGTCTGCGTTCTTGACAGGCTGCTCCGTGAAAAAGTCGTGCGCCACAACCTCCACCCGCCCCTTGAGATCTTCGGGAACTTCAACCCCGGCAACAACATCAGGGAGATCTTGAGAAATACACTTCATTTTCGGAGAGTATCTTGCCAGATCAAAACACATCATGCCCTGAGAACCTCCGAGCTCGACCACCAAACCTTCACTCATACACGCCCAATCATAGTGTGCAATCAAGCCGGCTCTCTCAAACTTGCCTCCAGCATGTGTGAAGTTCATGACATCCGCAAAACGTTTCCCACGATCGGGGTCTTTCTTCATGCCATTGAAATATGTCTCGTATTGGTTGGTAGCAAGATTATATCCCGTCTCATTCGGCTCCTCGGAATTCGGCCATTTTTCAATAGCATCGACGATACGTGTGCTGGCGGGCCAAATCTCCTCTGTAACCAGTCCGAGGAATGATTGTAAAAGAGGTATCGTGGCAATTGCCTTGGATATAGCTGTGTGGGTGACGATTCCTCTACGCGGCTCGCGGAATATTCGATGGGTGATTGCCAAGCGAATAATTCGTTGAACGTCAGGCTCAGGTATATCAACTGCAGATGCAATGAAGGCGAAGGACGCTTCACCGCCGATTGGGAAGCTTGAAGCGAGTTTGAATCGGTAGATTGCGTGGATGGTTGGCAGGAACGTTGTCTGGTTCAATGTAAGTAAGATGTACAATCTCTAAGGAGGGACCCGACATCTAGTGTGGTCCAGAAAGCACTTGGACCTGCTAGGAGACTATTCAATTCTTCAGTTGCCTCTGAAATAGTAACCTTGCAGACTGCAATATCCGGAGGGAGTTGAGGGTCAACATAGTCGACATCAAAGGATGGCGAGGCAAGGTTATGGGATCGAAGGTACTGCTCAATGATTTCAGTCTTAGTGGATATAATTGCCGCAAGTTCCGATATCCTGGTCTTTGCCATCTTTCAATTTCGGCAAGTCTCGAGATATATCTAGACGATGAATCGACGAGACTTGGAGTCCGAGACTCAGTGGCGGCCGATGTGGACAGTACCAACACGTGAACTGAAGGTCTATTTGTACTCTGAATCAGTATCGCTTGCTTTTGTGTGTTTTTCTCTTCATCCGGCGAACTTACCCAGATAAGCCCAACATTGGATATCGTATTGTGATACTGCCAACATACGTTGGGTGGTGGTTAGGTGTGTGCATCGTATCTGGAACTTGTGGTGAGATCGGCAGGCTTACCCAACAAATAACATTTCGCTCAATTAAGGGGGCAAGTTAGCATACGACTTTTGTGATTTTGTTACACACGGTACTTGCGGAACTGCCCCAGGCAAGGCAGCATGCGCAACAGGCTGCAAGAAATTAGGTCACACAGCATTGGGAATTGCTGTACTGCCCTACTTGTGGCTGTAGCAATACCTACTTGAACATCTTCAAGGTCTTGAACTCGAAGCTTTCATTTCATTAACAAACGTTCAGAGTCCCATCTATGTACAATACTATTAGTCCTTTGCTGCACGACATTATCATTAATTTCATACAAACTCCATCTTAACTCATCTACACATACACAGTGCGTTCCCGAATCTACAATCAATGCTCCTTCCACCACCTTTTGTTAAAAATTCCTCGACTCATGACCACGAGCCACACCAGTTGATCCATAAGCAGCCTCTTCCTGCGCCAGTCCACCTGGGTATCCCCTCATCCTCGACTCGGACTCCATGCCTTCGGCCATATCAATCTCCGTCTCCTTGCTAGCATAATGTCTTGTGCGGATCGCAGGGATGAAATCGATCGCGTAACTCCAGACGTAGAATGTGTATATGAGAGAAATAACCCATTCACAAACAGCAGCGGGATTGTAATTCTCCTTGTCACTGAGGACACCGAAGGCGATGGCGAGACCCAGTTCAACGAAGATGAAGGCGAGTTTGATCCAGAAGGAAATGCGAAGGATCCGGTGTTGACGGTAGTGAATCCCTAGGCGTTGGTACTCCCAGCAGACAAAGATTGCAGACAGGATGTAGCCGGCACTAAATCCATCAGTTCATTGCTAGAAAAAGTGAAAAGGGGGAAACCGACATGAAGACTACCAGACATGCGTCATGAGTTTTGGAGTATTTGATATCATTTCGGCAAGTGAGAATGATCAAACCAATCATTCCTATTATCGCAAAAATAATGGCGAGGCCACTCAGTATCTTCTGAAACATGGAAGTATTTCGAGCAATTGTTCCTCGGTGTCGGAGCCAGCGCTCAGTAACGAAGACGGTGGTGAAGCTCACGACGGTGGTCGTTCCCATCGCGATGAAGAGGGGTTGCAATTGATGCGCTCCAATATCCGAGATGTACCTGCGACTTTCATGAGATGCGGTGGGTGGTGAGAACAGGGCAATTGACGAACGCGATATGTTGATTTGCATCCATTGGTACGAGGTGTACTGAATGCTCTTTTACCGTCCACCATAGTAACATCCCAAGAAGCATTCCCAGCCATACAAATCCAGAGAAGATGGGGACAATAACGTATATCGTCGCCCACCACGGTGCCTTCACACCTGCCATTTTGATCGTGTTTCAAGAGACCAGGAAATAAAGTATGAAAAGTCGATCGCTTGATAAATGGCGAGGCACTGAAACGAGGAGGAGGCCGTGGAGCACAACTTCGATCTCAATAGAGTTCTATAATTATGTACAGCAAGGAGACAACATGGAATAATGGAATAATGGAATCAAAAGATGCGATCGAGGAAAGTATTCAAAAAATTACTTACTATTATAGCGCTGTACGTCATTTGTTTCGTGGATGCTGATTAAGTTTGCTTAGAGTGCAGACTTTGCCGAACTTCCCGGAACATTCGGAGGTGAACTGGGAAATAACATACAGTGTCAAAGAAAGAGATCCTTATTCTTCACTGTCAATAAATGCCCTCAGTCTATGTTCGCATCTTAGCAATCCCGCAGACAAGGTATATATGAAGGGGTGGACACATCGGAGCGAACCCCTCCCTTGTGGTGTAATACACGGCTACTATGTACAGTAACCAGGAACGGTATTCTGTGGCACGTGCATTCAGATTTATACAGTATGGAAGATTCTCCATAGCAACAGCACAGTTCGCTCCGATGTCTCCACCCCCTTCACTTGTCAAAAATGATGTCAGCCATTGAGTTTGAAAGCTCTGCCAACCCTCTGAAGACCGACCCGAGCCCCGAAGACTGTTATGTCCGGGCACATGACTAGCGCAGAATTCCGCGGTGCTCAAAATCTATGCTCATCTTTCATAATTCCACGATTTATATATCTCGAGTATCATCATAATAACCTTGAGAAAACACCATCATCTCTTTTGCTTTTGCATCTATGGTCAATCACGGGACTTCTCGCCCCTGCGAGAATTGCAGGAAGCGACGCAAAACGCAACTTTGACTCTGGGGGACATCTCTGAACGCCTGATCCTGGGGGCAGTATTTCTATTTTGCTAAATTTGGTGAGGTATCCATCCTGTAGGTCAGCTAGGCACTGAGATTTCTAAAATTTGTGTTAAGGGTCTTCTACCAGAGATGTATACGATGTCTTCAATCTGGCCTTTCCTGAAAGTATTACAGAGACACAACAGAACTGCTCTTTCGCAACTACGGCCCCCTTCACACGCTCAGGGCAGCTCATTTAATCAGAATTTAACAGCCAGTGTGCTGGACTTGAAAATTGACATCATGCTATTAGAGCTTTCCTCGATGATTTCGTGATGCATTCGGCTGGAAGACGCCTTTCTCGCGGATTCTTGGACATTTTAAGAGTATCTAATTGTGGTTAGTGATCCGTCATCGCATCTTGGATGAGCAGCCGCAATTTTCGTGCGATTTGTTTATATCTGCTTTTTACATATTCCAGTGACTCGGGTTCTTTATTTACTGCCAATAGACCTGCGCTCAATCTTTTTGCAGGAGGGTCTACTTCCTTCTCCTATCATATGTTCGAGGCGCTCAGGGTTTTTGGTGGTGTCACCTTACTTACCAGCCTTAGCGTGCTTTGTATTTTGGTGTTTTTGGTCTTCACTACTGCTCTGAGACAAAGAAGCAAATTTGCGATCTGACGTGGATTCAACTAATAGTCATGTATCCTGCTTCTATCGTTAATATACTCTGCATTTAACATTTCTTTGAATTTGTGTTCTTAATTAGCGCGTGCTTCTTCAGCACCTCCCAACTTTCGCCAGCAAGATTTCGGAGACAGGAAGGCGAATACCCAAGCTCACTGAATGAGCGTGGCGCTGTTCGCGACATCGGGATTCAAGTAGGATTGTGCAATTGGTAAGTAATTTCTTGCCAAGTAATTGGTGAGGTGCGCTTGCAGTGCCTGCCGTGCGATTCCTTCGGCGCGAATGCAAGGTCAAATTCCCTGAGCTTCTCTAAGCCAACGAACGCCCTTACTGTCTGACTACCGACACCCAATGATTTGACTTGCGAGAAGGCTCAATCTCACGAGCTGCTGAGAAATCTCTGGTGCTACGACAAGTTGAGAAAGTGACAAGACTTTTCTCCTAGACGCGCTCGATTTGTGGGGTGCCGCCCAGAAGTACCCTTGGAAAGCTTGTCTCAAGTCAGAAGGTGCTTAACCTCCGCTCGGCACTCAAGTACCGCTAGCCGTATGTTACATTGAACCACAATTGAGATGCGAGGCTCGCCAAGGCTGCCAAGTGATAAGAAGTGAGCGCCCCATTCTGCCTTCTCCGTTTGGCTCAAACTCCGTGAATCAAAGCATACGGCTTCCTTTTCAAGCTCGCTCGCTTAAGTAGTCTATTATCGTACAGTCCTGTGGCCATGAAATCGACTCAATCCTTGATGGTTGACTCGCTCAACAGGATTCTGTACTCAAGCAATTGCGGTACAGATTTTGTATATAATCCCAGAGGTATCCCCTCTCACCAGAAGCCAACGAGTACTTTCTTGTGGTCTTTCTTCGACTTTCGTCTCTTTGCCTCCAAGCTGCAGCCTCATCACTACATCTGTCATTCACAATGGCAGTAAGACTCGCTTCTACACTCGCTCTTGCGATGCTATCGACATTGTCAGCAGCTGTTGCACTCCCAGAGGCACTGGCCCCGCCTGTGCCTGGCGGCGTCGACATCGTGGGAGGATCTGCAGCCACCGCTGGCCAGTTCCCATATCAGGTTGCTCTCCTGCACAGCGGCTCGTTGTTTTGCGGTGGCGTATTGATAAACGCCAACACGGTTCTCACTGCAGCCCATTGCTCTGTAGACTATTCGGCGTCATCCGTCCAAGTCCGAGCTGGATCACTTGTAAGTCCGTCCTTCTAGAATCGGCTACATAAGTGAATTTAAGATGCACACTGACCAGGTGTTAGAAATACGCCTCAGGGGGTACTCTTGTCAGCGTTTCAAAGATCGTTGTTCATCCAGACTACGATGAGGATACTATCGATAATGATATCGCCCTCTGGAAACTAGCCACAGCTATTCCCACGAGCTCGACAATTGGCTACGCTACGCTGCCAGCGCAGGGTTCTGATCCAGCCGCCGGAGTATCAACCACAGTATCTGGATGGTATGTAAAGAACCATTGAGTCCTTGCTCTCGATTAAGCGCAAGGCTGTTTCGAAGTGTTGATAGATGGCTAATTTACTGAGTAGGGGGCTCACATCTGAGAGTGGGTCAACTCTTCCAACATCTTTGAGATATGTCTCAGTACCAGTTGTGTCCCGTACCACATGCCGGTCCGACTATGGTACCTCCGCAATCACAAACAACATGTTTTGCGCTGCTGCATCCGGCAAAGACTCGTGCAGCGGAGACAGTGGTGGACCAATCACCATTACATCCACTGGAGTCCTGGCTGGCACTGTATCATGGGGTCAAGGATGCGCTGAGGCTGGGTATCCTGGAGTGTATGAGAGAATTGGCAACTATGTTGACTATATCAATGCGAATAAGTTTTAAGCAGTAGGAGGGCAAGAATTGAATTTTGGAGAAGCTAATTGTCGGTCCTTGAGTTCTCGCAACAGGAACTCTCCGAGTTGAGACCCTAATGGGCTGCGAAGAATATATACGCATGGTGTCGAACATGGAGCTCTTCAATACACGTTTGATGTACAAATGCGCCTCTTGCAAAGTGATGGTCGTACCTGAGAATCTGTAATAGCAACATCAGTAGCGCCCAAAGATGACCCATGAAGTTCTCACAGAGTGGCATGAATACTCCAGCAAGGAGTGAGTATCAAGCATCCTGAGGTATTCCCTTGTACATTGCATGCAACAGCATCTCACGCAACATGTTGGATGAGTGGGTTTCATCCGGCATACCAACATCACGAAGAACATTGGAGCTAGTGCCGCCTGATTGCTAAGGATTTGATTCGACGGAAGAATGAGTTTAGCCTAAAGCGATTTTTGTTTACAAAGAGGTGTGGAGCAAATTGACAACATAAACTACTTAAACATTCCCTTAGCCAGACTTTAGTTCAAACTATTAGTTGCTTCTGGTCATAAATGCCAATCTACAAAAGCCATGGAAAAAGAACCAGACTACTTGCTAGTTCGAGACATACACTCATCCATTCGTTGAGCAAACCAGTCGCCATCTTATTAATTACCATCCAGGGCCATCTGAATTTTCTAACTTGATGGGAGACTCAATTTACAGCATTTCTGTGGAAAGATGGCCTTGGCTATCTTCTACACCCATCAGTTCCTGTCGCTGAGGCGAACTGCCGTATTGCGGATCTTGGAACCCGCACAGGGTATTGTCGTCTCTCTGCTTTTGTCGAGTTCCTGGCACTGACGTCCGTCACCTAGAATCTGGTTACTAGACCTAGCTAGACAAGTTCCAGACACGACGCAGTTATACGGCTTCGACATTTCCGACTCACAATATCCTCATGCGAAATATCTTCCCCATAATGTAAGATTGAAAGTCTTGGATAATCTTGACCTGGAGCCACCCAAAGTGTTACAAGAGACATTCGATATTGTGCATCTACGTCTCTGGCTTGACGGCATGCCCAACGGAGACCCAACAGCACTTCTATCTCACGCGATAAAGCTTCTACGTAGGCTGCTGCTCTCTTTAGCAACTGAATACCAAAACAACATGACTGATGGTTACAGGTCCAGGAGGATACATTCAATGGGCTGAGATGGATCCTCTCCGTGGTATTACTCATGGCCCAGACGGCGAAGATTGGCCTAATGTTGCCAATGTTCTCGCCTTGATGCAAAATATCAAGGATCACAGGTAAACATTCAATTCGAGCTTCTCCTCCCCTTCCGCAGCGGTCGTTTCCATCTTTCTGACCCCTGCAGATGGATTGAACGGCTCCCCGAATTGTTTCACTAATTCAAACTAGAGAATATAGAGGAAGCCTTCTCTTTCGAACAGCCGTGGCAGTCCAAAATGACATCCGATCTGTCTTGTGCTGTTGTTCATGAAATGGAAAATAATGGAAGCCCTTACATCGCCCAGAAACTAAAGATACATGATGTTTCAATTCCGCCGGCATATGCCGAAGTCTTTAAAGGAGCGCGTCTTGTGCAGCCGTTCTGCATTACTATTGGAAAAAAGCCAATTCAGAATAGTCCTTTTGAATGAAATTGCTCCACTCACACACGAGGAATCCCAAAATCATTGTGAGATTCTACTTGGCGAGAGATACCTCGGATTAATACTCTAGCATTTTCCAAATTTCAGCCGGCGTGCGATGCCAAGCTAGTGAGTCATAACTCAAGAGAAACGATGCAGGAAAATATTTCCAGAACAGCGACTTTTGACAGTGGGTACTCGCTTGGTAAGGCAAACAAGATCATACTACTATGGTTAGATAATGTACCTGAGCTCCGTTTCTCTTGCTTCATGAGTCGAAGCATCCATCCTACGTCCAACTGCTTCCACCCGCCCGTATTTCCTATCTCTCCTCCTGTTCTCCAAGAACAGCAACGTGCTCAACACCGCACTGGCTACAGCGGCAAGAAGAGAAAAAGAACACGCGATCCACATCCCTTTCCTGTAAAATGGCCTTTCGCTAGAGGGGAATATATTCGTTCCCAGCAGTGTTCCACACTGACCAACAGTCATCATAATCCACAATCCTCCCGCACGCTTCGAGCCTGTAGCGTTGATGTTGGAGTTCCAGATGAGAATGATGGTTGTCGTGACGAAAATGTTGACTGTGAGGAAGATGCCGACGTATCGTGCTGTCACGGAAGTGGCTGTGCCTAGAATGATGAAACCAATTGCGGCAAGTAGGGCGAAGAAACTAGCAAAAGGCCCTCGTAATCTCACACGGTCTGACACAATTGCTGTGGCAATAATGACAAAGAAGCAGAGTAGATATGGAGGTGCAGACAGGCCATTCGATTCGAGTTGAGAAAATGTTCCAAGCTCCGAGATGATAGTAGGTAGGAACAGAGGGAGGGAAGCAAAACTGACGTTGCAGCTAAAATTCAAAAGAGCGAAGAAGTAGTCTAGAGCGGTCAGCACTGGTACCATCTTAGAGACAAAAAGTTGACCTACTACGATAGTCTTTGAAAGCATCCATAAGCTGCGAGACTTGCAGACCCTCATGCTCAAAATCACCAGGTTGATTTTGAGCAAAAGCTTCTGCGACCAGTCGCTCTCTCTCGTTCAGAAAACGAGCTTTTTCTGGAGAGTCCGGGAGGAAAAACCACGTTGCCACAGCTAACAGCACGGTTGGCACGCCCTCAATAATGAACAAGAATTTCCAATTTGCAACACTGGAGTGAATGTGTGACAACGCATAAGCCAACGCTCCTCCATATGCATTGGCCAACGCCGAACCAGACAAGAAGATGCCAAACCGCAAACCCAGATACTCTGGCGGATAGAAAAATGAGAAGTACAACGGTATTCCAGGCCCAAACATAGTCTCCGCCCAGCCCAGAAAGAAACGACAAGCCATGAGTCCCTGCCAGCTTGTACAGACTGCTTGCAGTGTACTGACGATACCCCAGTACAGAACCACAAATGTGACCCACTTGTGGGGTTTGAAGATCTTCCATCCAAGGTTGCTAAACTGGAAGATTATGTAGGCGATGTAAAACAAATTGGCCAGCCATGTGTATTTGTCCCCTGAAATATTTATGTCTTCAGCAAGTCCGGCGAGCTTTGCGTTTCCGAGATTTGATCTGTCAAGAACAGAGAAAGTGTATAGAATGAAGCATAAGGGAAGGAGATGTAAATCCAGCTTCCGAACAACTCTGCGTCTTTCTTCGGGTGTTATTTGGATGTTATCGACGGTCATCGGAGCATACTCAACGTTGGCAAATTCTGCCTTCTCTAGAGAAGGTTCCTCAAATGTTGTAGCCGTCATAGTGGACAATTCGAGAACTCTTAATTGCAGTGGATGTGTAGAACCTGGGCCGGGCGACAGTGAATAAATGTTCTCGGCTTCCGTTGGAGCGAGAGACATTGACAAGACAACAGGATAATGATCCTTATCTCGTGATATGAGCTGAAAGTTGTCTTTACATTTCGTATTTCGTGGAGAGCAGGAATGAGAATTCGGTATCATGCCGAGCGCCTAATCCAGCAATTTTAGCGAACCCCTAATGCAGTGAGACGGCAACTTGCCGACAACCCCGCCATGAGAATTCGCAAGTCAAGAACCCTGGATCGGACGAAATTTGCGCTGTCTGCGCTGATTGCGCTGATTGTGCTTTAAGCTCACATCAAAGTAACAACCAAAAGTCCCGAGCCATCCCCGATGATCATAGTAAGTGTAGCCTCCAATTTGGGCGGACCTCCCTAATTTTAGTATTTCACGAATACAGTAGATTTCACACAGATAAGCCTCAAGGATCATAACTTTTCATTACATCTCTGGGGAGGGCGAGAATGCTGGGAACCTCAATCGCTGGGGACCTCAAACGAAATTTGGATGCATTTTGATCAGTGGTGACCAGAACAAATTATATAGTACCATTGACCTTTCCGTTCAACTTTCCATTCATCAGAGCTTTCTTTCCAGAAGCTGGCACCAGCAAAGTTAACAACGGGGCGTGCTGCTGCGTGCCCAAGGTATCTCTTTCCCCAAAGCTACCCTGAGCCCAAGGCCTTTTCAAAGTGCATTTCCATGCCAGTGCAGGCTCAAAGTACATATTAGTGAGAATGTCATGATCTTCAACTCGGTATAGGCGTTTGATAATAGAGTTCGTCAGTAAGTCCGCTTTCTTTACTCGTTCATAGGACTCTTGGTCGTCGAACATGATGTCCAAAGTAAGTTCGAAAGGGCCACTATTTTTTGAGCGAATGACTTTGGCAATATTCATCATTGCAACCGCGTCTTGCGTCGTTTCCTTTCGGGCTGCGAAATCGCTTAGCTTCTGATCTGTGAATCGCAGAGTGACTTACCGATTGGAAGTGGCTTTGTGCTTGTGAAGAACTCCAATTGCGACTGAGTTAAGTGCCCTTTCTCTTCCTGCACTGGGCTCGTCGTCCCTATTTGATGGAACCTGATCGGAAAGAGATCCAACTCCTCTCCAGCATTCAAGTCGATTAAATGGTACAAGCTGAATTTGAAGACCGCACCTGCTTCTTGTTCGTGCGGAGAAAGTGGAGAAGCGAAATTTCCGGTAGTGGCCAGTTGCCCTTCATATGGCATGTGAAGAAGAGATGTGCGAACATTGTTAGTAATGGTATGGGACAACTCTTGTGTCTCAGCCATTACTTCACCCATGATTCCAAGCTCATAAGCGACACTAATTTCCGTCTCAAGAGGACCCATCACTGCATTTCGACCATAAATGTGATAGTTTAGACGGCACTTCTCAGACTTATCAAGTGCAGGAAACAACCCATGGGTATACTGTCTGACTTTCTCGAGGAAGTCGTCGATTTGGGAGATCAGGATAGGGTCGCGAATTCCCCCAATGAATATGGTTCTGTAACCAAGCAGCTCGACGCCTTCCAGCTTTATCTGGTACACCGGTGTAGGAGAGAACACTGCTCCACTGACACGGACAGTTCGATCATCTTCAGACTGCGAATACGACGCCGTGTCTAAAACCAACACCCCTCCCGGTCCTGGCAGTCGATCTGGTCATGTCTTTTCGTACAGTGTATGAGATGCTACTGATAGCGGTGTGCACCTTTCCAACGGAGACAATGGTATCAGGTCAAAAGAATCCTTCCTCATAGTTGCAATCATAGATCTGCCCTTTGGAACAGCGCAGATACCACCACATTCCATGATCTTTCCCATATGCCATGCAACGCCAGGGTCAACTCCACGAGACATACAAAATGCTGCAAACGGCGCAGGATCGTAAGACCTGCCGCCAAGAATGATATCCGGATCATCTTTCAAGGCCTGCATGAACCTGTTTGCTTTTAGACATAGTTACGAGACTTAAGATCAAACAAGAACTCACGGCTCGGCTCCCATCTGAGCAACAACATCAACTGCTGCATCGACATCTTTGACTGTCAAAGGATCTAGTGGTCCACAGGGAGAGCATCGATTGCTTCGAATCCTTTCTTTAATCAAAGTACGATCCATTCCGGCCCGAATTGTTGCAATTTTGAAGGAGTATCCATTGCTCTCAGCGATCCCACGCACAATTTCGAGCATCTCTTCCACGTGCTTGTCGCTGCCATCTCCACCTACAGACCCAATCAAGACTTTGATCTTGCGATAAAAGCACGCTTCCAGTATTGGACTCAAATCTCGAATGTATGACTCCCTTCCACATGTCATTTTGTTCATGCCCAGCTTGTAGGGTCCTCCATCGGTCGAACCGCTATCAACGATAATGGCGGCTGGGTTGTATTTTTCGACGCCATACCAGAAATGATCTTCCCGATATCCATAGCCAAGCATGGCATTTGGAGTGAGAATTGTGAATGAAGAGTCCATCTCGGGCTGACGGAAAGCTCAAAGGTCTTAGCAACTGCACAAAAACAGTCGAACAGAGCTCCTGTTGTGGACTGCGAATATATTATTAGTCTCCGAGAATGTACTAAAATGACTCATCGGAATTCCTGTCACGAAACTGTTCCTTGCATAGGACATATTAACAGCGTTTGTGCATTTTGAAGATGGATTAGTGGAATATTTGATGGCAATGCCAAACCCATCACAATGGGTTCTTATCGAGGTGTTGTCGAGTGTCGGAAAGATGCCGGCGCTACAGTTAACCGAGCCTGGACTTCCTCCACTTTCAGATTTCACCATGGCAGTCACAAAATTGGACAGATTTTCAGGACCGAAGGGTCGGGGTTAAGGCGGAAGACTATCACAGCGAGTGAGGACGTGGGAGAAGAGGAAATGCGGTTGGAAAGGCAGGGTCAGTATTTTATAGCTTTTCTTGGGCCAAGACGTGCAGGGTCTTTTAGCAGGTGTTTTTCGGTTATGAACATTGTTTCCTGGTCTATTTATTCTCAATGTGATATTTATGAGGTATTTAAAGTTATGAAGTATTATGCTCTCTGGAATTCATCAAGCACGGTGTCTTTACCTCTAAAATATGGCCATAACGTTTGCAGGACTCGCTACTCCTCCTTTCAGATTTAACGGCATGCTCGTTAAAAAGAACGTCCATCGAGAGACCTCCTTGCACTTCACTGCCAAAGCCTCCAGATCCCAAACTTCACCAATAGGCATGCCCCATCCGCTCAAGAACACTTCATGACAGGCCACACCCCAAGGCTTTGTCGGTGGCCATACTTCATAAGCATTTGTGTCACCTGCAACGGCTGAGAACCCGTTATCCCAATGCCACTTTATCATCTCCCGTGATGCATCGACACCGACGAATTCGCGCTTCTCTCGACTACTTAGCTGGCGCTGCTCTTCAGGTGAAAGCTTCAAATATTCTTCTGTCCAACCAGATCGGATGAGAAGGATATCCCCGTGCTCGAATATGACCTTTTGCTCTTCTGCTACTGTGAGAAGCTCAGACAACGGAATAGGATGGCTTTCGAATGGAGAGTATTTGATGTTGTTCTGAATAGCGTATGTGCGCCAGTCAAGCAAGACGCCACGTCCCACTATACCGTGCTGTGCGGCATCTAAGCCATTTTTTTGTCAGTGTCTTTATCCATATATACAGGTTATAATTCATGTCCTTACTGTGAATTCCAATTCTATTATTCGCAGCCGGTCCACTGATATCGGCTTGAGAAGCGCCGTTGTAGTATCTTGGATTGACTTCATCCTGGTATGGATAATGTCGGAGACCGTCCCAGTGCGAGGAACTTTGAGTATTCAGTTCAATCTAGTTTCTCAGCGGAATGAAGCGTAAGATTTAGAGGTAGACTACTTACCTTGTCATCGTTCGCATAGCCTTTTGCTAGAATCTCATGTTCACATGGAGCTCTTCTCGGATTCATGGGTACAATTGGGCAGTCGAGAGGAAGACTGTAATTATCAATGTCAACAAAGTGTTTGTAGCAGAGGCAGTATCGTCAACCTACTTGAGAGGAACCACGACACCTGTCTGGATCTCCTTTGACGCATGACTTATGATCTCCGGAGTCAAGTAATTCGATGTACCAAGCTCGTCAGTAGGCCCCCAAAGACCCCATGCGGAGGCTTTTGGATCTGTTTTGGATCCGTATGGTAAGTCTTCGAAGGCTGGATGTCTTGATGTTCCATTCACAATTTTTCGCTCCGGCAGTCTCCCAATATCACTAGGACTTCTGGTCCTCTTTTTACCTACAATGTACTGTTCTTGCCTTCCTGAAGATTGATCAACAACCGAAACGGGAACCTCTTCACTCTTCGGGATACTGCCGGATAAACGGTTTTCTGTTTCAATATCTTTTGGTGGTGTCAATCTGGAGCTAAGTGGGAAGCAAGTAGCATTGGTTTCGATTGCTGACGGAGGCATGGTTGACTCAAAGCTAGTCCTTCCTAGATTTCGGACGGAGTGATAAGGATGAAAGCCGGAAAGCTGCTGGAAAGCTCAATGCTCAAAGAGAGAATGAAGATATCAGAGCTGTGAACAAATGCAAGTGAAGTAAGAACTCCCTAAAATGTATGCACATAAGCTTTCGCATATGAGTAGATTGCGGCTGACCGGAAGGTACACGATTCAGTGGGAGATTGAGGAACCATCCCGAAACTTGCATGAACAGTCTTCCTCCGTAAATAACTACGCACAAAGAGTAGCATTATTCAGACATGCAGTTCTTACAGAGAAGACCAGGTTCGGCAACTTGCCGATGGTGGGGGTACGTACGAAGGTATAGTTGGGCTTGTTATTACCTGGGTAGTGATCTTACTGTACCTAGGTAGCTTGGCGTGATGCGGGGTTACTGCACCCCAAATTACAGTAGTGGAACAAACCCACAGCCACCCGCAAACGTCGATACAATACGGGAAAGCGGAGTATGGGGACGGTCATTCACTGACCATACTTCTCTTTCTATTATTTCGTTCTCTAACATGCCGGGTTCGGGTTCGTCCGAAGGCGACCCTCGTCGCTATGGCTTTGCGTGTTCGACATGTCGCCGGAAAAAGGTTCGGTGTGATGGCACCCGTCCAGTCTGTCGGAAGTGCTCGAAATCCGGTGTAGAATGCTTCTACAAGCCCGAATCTGGAGATTTGTGGCTATTGCAGCAGCTTCGAAATTCTAATAAAAGAGTACGTGAGCTAGAAGAGCAAATGCGGAATTTGCTCTCGACCAAAGAAACCGAAGCAGCAAACATTTTACCGCAAAGCTCTGAGCATGGATCGACACGCAAGTCACCAACATGTCCGGCACTTGAGCTTATCGATGCTATCGGTGATGAAGAGAAGGTACGGGAAAGCGCACTCGACGAGCTCAGTGTTGATGAAAACGGGAAGGTACTTACCACGCCTCTGCTACTTACAGGTACGCCGAATTACACATGGCTGACCCATTTCTAGGTGCAATACTTCGGGGCTACATCTCGATTTTATGTTCCAACTGAACATACAACCCAGGCACGAGGACAGGCCGAGTTAGATCGAAGCTCAGATTTTGTTGATGCGACTAAGCACAGAACTTGGCTGCAATCGAGTTCTAAGCTCCAAAAATCGTGGGAGAGACTTGCTTTTGCTAATTTGCAGAACGAGAGGAGTGATATAAATCCTCAGTTGGCGGCAGATCTCCTTCAGATATACTGGGCTTGGCAACACCCTCTTCATAATTGCGTTTATCGTCCATGTCGGTCCTCCAGAGCTAGATTGTTCAAATAACATACTGAAGAGTCCTACAGGTTTCTCACGCGACATGGCTCTGGGTGGCCCTTACTTTTCCGAGTTTCTTCTGTACACACTTTATGCGCACGCAAGTCGTCATGCAAATACAGACGATCCCCGCTTTAAAGATATTGGACGTGGCGAGAGATTTCTTGCGAAAGCCAAACTTTTGCTGCAGTCGGAAATGGAGCAACCAAGACCAAAGATTCCAACAATCCAGGCCCTTCTAATTCTCGGTGGCCGGCAGTGTGCAGTCGGGAAAAGTTCTGAAGGGTGGCTCTATACAGGAATGGTTGGTGTCCTTTTCCCGATAGAGGCCTTGAGTGGGTTCTAAAAACAATCTTAGGCAATCCGAATGATGAAAGATATCGGCCTGCATCTTAACATGAAGAGGCTTGCGCATCTCGAGAAGCTCGCACCAGAAGATCTAGAAGTGAGAAAGCGCTTGTTCTTATCTGCCTATGCTTGGGATAAGTCAGTGAACATCCTCCACCATATCGTACTACTGACGTTCAATTTGTGTTCAGATCTATTAGTACCTGTCTGGGGAGGCCTCCTTCATTAATAGAAATGCCTTACGCTCCAGAAAGTCTTAGTAAGTCGATATCTTTTAAGCTCGGATCATTGCCTCATGTCTTCAATTGATCATTCGGACGACGACGAGATGTGGACTCCATGTTTCCTTGATGACGAAGTTTTGTACCCGCCAACAAAGAGCTTCAACACCCAAGTGTTTATCAGCTTCTGCCGTCTCTCTCAAGTAAGCTAGCAATTTGCGTCAATCGTCGACCATGCTTATCCAAAATTTCAGCTTATCAATGAGAGTTACGATATTATATACAAAGTGAAAACGAGAAAAGGCATCCTGTCAAAAAGCATCATCGAACTAGATGGCAGAATACGCGCATTCTACAGCTGCTTACCAGAAGGGCTACGGATTGAAAACATCTCCTCCATGCCATTCTGTCCTCCGCCGCATATCTTCTCGTTAAAGTAAGCAGCGAAAACCATCTCTTTCCGGCTGATCATGTCAATCTAACCAACTTTAATCACAGTATTCTATACCATGTGACGCTAATATTACTCTACCGCCCCTTTTTGTTTTCCTCCACATCTTCGCTCACCAAAGACGACGATTTCAACATACGAGCTCACAGAATTTGCGTGGAGAGAACGAAGATCAACCAGTTCCTGAAAGCCCATCACCGCACCTTCAACTTCAAGATCCAGACATATCTTGTGTCATACTGCGTCTACACCGCAGCTACAATTGATGCCTTCGAAATCAAGAGCCATGATGATACCGCTGCAACGGAAGCCGCTCAGAGACTTTCTACGACCCTGAAAATGTTAGAAACTGAGGCAAGGCAGACACCTGGCATCAAAAGAAGCATTGAGATCATCAAGACCCAGTTACAGACGCATACAGAGGTAGCACACGATCGTCATGCAACTGTTGAGGATTATAACGACGTCCAACGTCAAAATTTCTCAATAGAGACACAGCAAGTGACTCTTTTCACCCCAGTATACCAAGTGTGCTTACACCTACTAGTCAGCCATCACCACATGTTCCTATTTTGGGACGGGCACCGCTAGGAACACGGCCTCAGACCGAAGCTGCCCAGTTACCAGCGAAAAACCAGCCCCAGCCTTCCAATTTCGAACAATCTCAGATGCTCGATGTGTCCACCTACTTTGACAATCATTTGTCGGACCAACAACAGGAGTCACAGCAATTTGCTACTAGTGGCACCGCCGGAACCCCGTTCAGACCTCAAGTAGATACAGAAATCAGTACTATTGGCCAGAGCCAGGTATCTGGAATGCAAGCGGCGGTTTTGTTCCCAGCGCCTTGAATTGGAATATGCAGGACATGGACGAAGATACTGATTTTGACGCAACTTCTTTTTGGTCATCTATGAATTGATTACTGCAAAATGAGAGATCAGAATATCTCGCTATTCCTTCATCTAATCTGTCGTGTTTTCAAATTGCTTCGCGAATGCCTCACTTCCTGGTTCACACCCAAGGTATTCCTTCAGATAATTTATGGCGCATTCACTTCCGCCTCTCCCTAGGATGATGCGTCGATATCTTCTCCCTTCAATCCTGTCCATGGGAGACTCGCGGAAGCGTAAGTCGAATAACGCGGCAGAATATACTGAGGCTCTGCATCATATCAGCAATCTACCTTTCGAAAGCAAGAACAGAGGCGAACTCACAAAGCATAGACATAATACCCTGCAGCATATGAAGAGCTAAACATGTGCTGAAATCTTGCCTGTCCACATCCCCAGCCATATCCTTCGCCATACACTTCTGGCCCCGACAGGCCTTTGACCTCCTTTCTGACACGATTGTATATCTCACCCAGATCCATCTTTTCTACTTCTTCTGGACTTGCAGCACCATGAATGATAAAATCATACTTGGCTAGGGAGAGCGCAGTCAAGGTCAAAAACGCCAAATTCGAGCTCCTGAATGCGGTGAGACTCGTCAATAAGTCAAGCTCTCCTTTCTCTGCAGGTTGCGGGAGCCCCGGATGCTCAGATTCCCATGCTGAAAGGTAGGAGGGTGAAAGGTATGTGTAATGTCTGGACAAGCGCTGGAGGATGGATGGGTCCCAACACCAATTTTCGAGCATCTTGCTAGGAATTTCTACAAAGTCGTGATTGGTGCTTGTACCATAAGTCGAAGCAAACTTTGTCCGGCCAACAAGATAGTGGATTCCATGGCCGAGTTCATGGAAAAGGGTGAGAACATTGCGATGGCGGAGAAGAGTGGGCTTGCTAGGTGTGGGTTGTGGAAGTGCCGCGAGTAGCGCGGTGCTTGGATAATGTCTTGCACCGTTGGAGAGATCGAAACCCTGTAGGAATGTCATTACGAGCTCCTACCTGAGAATGGGAAACTAACAGCTTGAAATGTAGAATTGCAAGGATGGTCTCTCTTGCCAGGTCGTTGAAGCAAGTCGAGGTAAAGATAGCCTAAGAAATTACCGCCCATTGCTTCTTCATCCCATACAGAGTAGACCTTGACATCCTTGTGCCAAGTGATCGCATCCTCAGCTTGTTTTTGCTTACTCACAAGCGTTTCCCTTGAATCTTGTAAAAGCTCAATAATTTGCATGCCAAAAAGCTCTTCGTAGATGTCGAGTAAGCCGCGCATGGTAGAATCGAGAGAGAAAAGCTCGGAAAATCGGGTCTCATCCAGGTCTTGTTGAGACTCTTGCAGCAGACGAGTGTAAAAGGCTGTGTCCCAAAGGTACATGCGATCATCGATGTCACTTTCAGCAGCTCCTCGTCCTATCAAATCTCGCTTCTTGCACTCACACATTTTCCTCATCTCAATCTCTGCTTGAGGAGCAATTGACGCCTCCAGCTCTGCTAAAAATGATTGCACGGAATCAAAGCTCATCATCTTGTCCTGAGTTTTGTAATCGGCATACGATTTATAGCCCATCAATTTTGCGAGCTCGGCTCTCAAAGAAACAAGTTCCTTGAAAGGCACAACATTTGCAGGACACTTGTTCTCATTCCCAATGAAAGCACGCTTACTTGTCATTGAATTCGTGCAATACTTCAAACACATGGTAAGATCATTGCGCTTGAATGTGAGCCAAAATTTCTCGTCAGTCTCGGAGCCGTCCGATCTCAATTTACCAAACACATCGTGAGGGAGGCCTGCCAGCTCTTCTGCAGAAAACCATATGCCACCGGCCTCATGATAAAGTGTTTGTTTGCACTGGACTGATAGCTCATCAATTCGAATTTTGATGGCTTTAGACTGATCACGAGTAGGGCCATTGGGTAATGCAAGACCATCTCTGATCATTCGCGATAATGTTTTATTGAGATAGTATTGTAGTTCTAGATCGAGAATCTCATTCTTGTCCTTGACAACTTGGACGAGTCGATACAAGTCGTCTCGAGTATCGACTTCTTGGCTGTAGGCGGTCCAAAGCTTCTGAGCCTCAACCGAAGCATCACAAAGAGATCTGGTAGGAGCGACATTTTGAAAGAAATCAGTGAGGCCCTGAGTATTGATTCGTTCGTTCTCCTCCTGGGCCAGAGGGAGCATGACATTTGCAAAAGATGCTTCGGTTGGTGAGGTCTTTGCGATCTGGTCTAGCATGCTCCGTGATCGCCTGATTCCATCGTTGGTGATATTTAACAAGTCCTCCAGTGTTTGCGTGAAAGCAATTGGAAGCTGTGGGGGTTCACAAACAAAGGCCATCGTCGTATGCTTATCGTCGTGGCCAATGGATAATGTGATGAAGTGTGAAGGGAGTCTCTTGTACCGATTTTTGGAGAACAGCAGAGCGACTCAAGTGATCTTACATGTCGCCTGCTGCGTTGTTGGATATCAAGGGGTGCACGATACAACGCGGTAGGTGTTTGAGCAGTGCAGGAAATGCAGTTGAGGTATCATGATAGTGTGTCGTTAGTCACAGTTGCGGCGTAGCAAGAGTGTGTAGGTATGATTAGGAGGTGTGCAAATATTAAGGTTAAACGCCCCATCAAATTACAAAGTGGCAGCGCTCGGGATTGATCGTGAGATGAAGAGAGACTCAGCATGCGGCTCCAGATGTATGTTGGGACGGAGGACTAGACGATTTGCTTCGAGTTTAGATCACCGTACAACATACGTACAATACGGTCGGTATCTGCCGAAGCGCACGGTAGTCTGTTTCAGGCATAGTCACGGCTTCTATCCGCATGAAGTTAAAGCCCGGTTGCTCGACCGTTATGAGGCTCAGCGTCTAGAATTTGATTGGACGGTCTATACGGATCTGCTCGTGAGATTTTGATTGAAACCTCCCCCGCGCCGTCTCTCATGTCTCCATCACAAAACTTATCCATAGAACAAAGCTCAACATCTAAAAATCCAAGCCATTGCAATAGCATAATGACGGATTCAACCGCTTCGGGAAGCATGGGACGGGAGAGAAAGCGGACATTCGCCCATAAAACTCGTAATGGCTGCTTTGCCTGCAAGTGAGAAGTCCCAGTCCAGCTACCTAGACCGCTTGAGGAACCTATAGCTGCTATACGGTGCGACAAGGTTAATTGGTGCTTCAGGAAACGTCATCTGAAATGCGACGAGGGAAAGCCATCTTGCCTCAAATGTAAGTCAACTCTGGCCTCATGAATTCGACAATCCTCAGGACCCTCCACCGAAACTTTGATACAATCCTAGTCCACCTTCCAGGCCTGAGAATGTGCTTTTCTTTTTGGTGTATTGTTCCCCGTAGAATGATGTTAAGAGTTGGATCGACTGGGAGGAGAAAACTGACAATGTTGCTTCAGGTATCAAGGGCAAATTCGAGTGCACCTATCAGACTAGCTCTCCACTTTCCAAGGGTAAAAAGTCTCGCGAGCAGACGGCCAAGTTGCTGGCCCTAGCACCTCGACCAATCCGCTCCCGTGAAGCCCCGGATTCCACCCCTTCCATCATCCAACAACCTGCATCTTTCAACCTAAAGACAGCGCGCGAAGCTCACTACTTCCGATTTTTCTGCACCAATGTTGCTGTCCAGCTCTCTGGTCTTTTCGACTTGTCTTTGTGGAATCGTCTCATCCTCCAGACAAGTGAGGAAGAAGAATCCGTTCGACGCGGCATCATTGCTTTGGGCGCTTTACAACAGTCCATCAACCAGAAAGGAGAGCAAAACAACCGATATCTCGCATCTATTGCACCGAATGACGAGCATCATCGATATTCCGTGGAACAATACCAAAGAGCGATCAAACTCATGAGACACTCAATATCGCTTCGAACACATAGTCTCAGGACGACTTTACTCAACTGCTTGCTAGCAATTTGCTTCGAAACAATGCACGGCAATGATCAATCAGCCATTGCTCAGATGGAAGTTGGAGTCCGCCTCTTGGATGATTACATCTCTAGCAAAAGAATATCCTCCCCTCGTCAGGGGAGAAATATTCCCGCGGCCAGTCCCGACTTTCATGAACACCCTATCTCGCCATCTTATGCACTAGAGTCTCCTGCTCCACATGAGATCGAAGACGAATTAGTTCACGCTTTCACACGTCTAGACACACAAGCCAACTCATTCCTCGATGCAAGACCTCTCGAACACCACATGGTCATGAGGTTTCACGGTTCGGACTGCTTGGCACGCATGCCAACGACCTACTGCAGTATAGATGAAGCTAGGAAATACCACGAGCTCCTGGGCCGCCGAGTCTCTCATTGGACAAGTACCCTTGGTGGAAGGAATTTCTTCTTCAACGAGTATCATGTTGTCCTGGACGATCAAAAAGAGGGAAGCATTCCGAAGACACATAGTATACCGGAGGAAGTTTATATGGAGAGACAAGAGCATCTTGACGACCTCGATCGATGGTGGCAAGCTTTCACCCCGCTTTGGATCAGGTACCAATACCAGATGGACAGCAGAGAATACCTTTGCGCAGTAAATCTCCGGCTACGCTTTGTTGTTACCCGACTTATGCTGTCAATGGCTCTCGTTGCAAATCAACTCCTCTTTGATGAGCATATTGACGAATTCCACGAAGTGGTCTATCTTGCAAAGATTTTGCACTCCAGTTCATTAGCAGAAGGACCATTGTCCTTCGATCTGGGTTATATACCCGCTCTCTTCACTGTTACCTCGAAGTGTCGCGATCGGCGTGTGAGACGTGAGGCTGCGCATTTGTTGCTTTCTAAGGCGTGGAGAGAGGGATTGTGGGAGTCTAATGTTACGGGCAGGGTCTCGGCTGCTGTTATTGATATCGAGGAGGAAGGCTTGCAAGGGGATTTTGTGCCGGAGGAGGCGAGGATAAAGAGTATGAGATTAAGATTTGACTTACCGAGTAAGGAGTTGAGGTTGTCGTGTACTATGGCAAGCGGCGATATCAAAGACCGAACGATAATGTGGTGAATACGGTCACTAGTGGGTTCATCTGATCTTAAGCCTAAAGCTAGTAGTATTTGAGGAGGTCTAGTGTTCCTCGGACCTCGTGTATAGCCATATAAAAACCGACGATTATCTACAACTATATGCTTTCCACAACACACGACCACAACTTTTCAAACCCCAATCCGAATACCTTCAACAACACTAACACACTCCGTCCTCAACCTGAATCTCAATAACAACAACAACAACAAAATAACTTCGCCTTACTCGCCATCTTGCGCTTTTCGCAAAACACAAACCCAACTCCTCTAGCAATTCATCGACACGCGCAATACTTAAGCGTAATTCTCATAACAAGTACCCTTATTCCTTGTCAATAAAGAAAGCCATCCTACAGACATCATGGCTCAATGTCCCAATTGCAACGGCCCAGACTACCTCTGTACCTGCAAGAGAGACGGGCTTGTCTCGAGCTCTAGCGGTGGTAGTTCCAACAATGCTGGCTACAACAACTCTAGCTATGATCGCAACTCTTCCTATGGCAACGGCTACGGTGGTAATTCGGGCAATGGTCGCAGCACTCCTACTGGAAACAGTTATAGCAATTCGTCTTCCCGAGCCACCAACTATTCCGATACCTTCGATCGCGACCGCAGCCAAACCTCCTCATCCGCTTCCTCTTACAATGTTGATCGCTGCGGCCGATGCCAACGTGCTCGCCATCAATGCACCTGCCTTCGCAATCAACCCTACGTCCCGAATCGCACCAGCACTTCACGCCCCAATCGCAGCTCTCCCGCCTATACTTCATCCAACTCTGGCTCGAGCTCTGGTATGTGCTATCGGTGCCGACGCTCCAAGAGCAGTTGTACTTGTATCTCAGGTACATTGTATAACCCTGGTGGCTACAGCAATGAGCGTACTGCGTACCGAAATGAGCCGGCATTCGATGATCCGCCAAGCTATTCTGATCGCGATTGGTATGATCGTCCTTCCGGCTATCGACGTTAATTGAGAGATGCTCATAGCTCTTCCTTGGGAGGAAGGGATTGGAATGGAAGGACACATCTGGGCAGGAAAAAACTATTACCTTTAGCATCGCATTTCGTTTTGGAGTGGGGAAGCTTTTGGCTTCAGCTGTGCCACATTTTTGATTTTTTCCCCTTCATGAGCGTGGTATCTGAGAATGAACTCTGGGCAAGTGAACTTTCTGGTTCGCGGCAATCATTCGCGCTTGGAGAGTTTTGGAGCCATCACTGGTGGTTGGATTTTGCACTTTCGACTCTTAGGTAGATACCCAGTGCGTACAATAGCGTTGAACTTTGCGGAAAATAGAAAATGAATAACATTTTCGCCAATTGATTCTTCGACGTGCTGAACTGTGATATTTTGTGTGATTGTTGATAATCACAGATTGAACTGAATAGTGATCCGAGAAACCTGCCCAGCATTAATACTATAGGCTCGTAATAAACACGTGATGCATCCCGACAATGCGGCAAAAACGCTTCCTATCTGAGCACTTCTTCCAACTTGGATCTCCGACCTTTCAGTAAGTGTGTCTCGAATTGACTTAGAACATTTCAAGTCAGAAATTCTCGGACGAACATGGACATCTGATCAATATAAGCTCGCTTGGCCCAGTGTTCTCTTCAGGGGCGTCGAAAGCTTAGCGAGACTAGGTCACAGCTAAGCTTTTACCCCACGTTATCCCCTTCCCCGCATCGGGTATATAATAGATCGTCAAGCAACCCGTCATCGATTTGAGAAGTTCCAGCATTTCTCAACGGGGTAATTCGCTGTTTTGTGTACCGAACATAATCCGTTGGATAGGAATTTTCCCGTTCGGAATGGTTCGCTTGCAGTTGGAGATTTTCTAATCCTCGTTTGTATGCTTCCGCCCATGACATAACCTCTGGAGCCTCTGGAACCTCTGAAACCTCTGGCAAAAATGGGGGCAGTACAATGAAATGCTTCATCCTCGTTCAGTCTCACTGGAGGACCAAGATAAGCTAATCGTTCCCCGCATACCCCAAACATTTCCGTCAAGTAGATAAATGCCAGTAGGACACACTCAGTAAGTTTGCAACAATAAACTACAGGATTTTGATTTATATCAATATGAAGCCTGGATTATACCAGTGGTTAATCGGTTGCTTTGCGGCGTTGGGCTCATTTCTTTTCGGCTTCGATCTTGGAGTTATTGCTGAGGTTGTAGCTTCTGACTCATTCAAGACTTTGTTTTTACAAGAAGATGCCGATTCTAGGTCTGGGACTGTGGTGGCCCTGTTCACAGGTGGTTGTTTCGTAGGAGGTTAGTTATTATCTCTACCTATTGCACCGCTGCCCCCATTCTCGATTTGAAAACCCAGGTCACTGACGCAATCGTTCAGCTCTGGGAGCGGGCTTTTCTGATAGACTCGGTCGAAGAGGCACAATACTTATGGCGTGTTGTATCTTCGTCGTTGGCGGTGTTATTCAGACTGCTGGGGTGGCTATTGCTATGTTATATGTTGGCAGACTCATTGCCGGTATTGGAGTCGGCTTTTTGACTGTAAGTGGTGCGCTCCTTCCATCAGTTTTGAATTAACTTCAAAGTAGATGATCATCCCTATCTACCAAGCAGAGATCTCCCATCGCAAACTCAGAGGCAGAGTCACCAGTCTACAGCAACTCTTCAATGCTCTTGGTCAAATATTCGCGACATGGACTGGATATGGATGCTATATGACTTGGACAGGCACTGGAGATAGCCGTGAATGGAGGATACCTCTCGCAATTCAGATCATCCCAGCACTCTTTCTCGGTGGATTAGTGTATTTGTTCCCCGAATCTCCAAGGTGTAAGTACTGGGCGAAAGCTCATTAACTCTGATTATTCCCTTTTCAAGAGTCTCTGCATAATCGACATCTCACTTTTACTGGAGCACTACTTATGAGCAGTGGCTGACTTCCTCGCTACCTAGGGCTATGTGATCACGACTTCGCCGATCAAGGACTGAAAAATCTCGCTCAATTACACGCTCATGGCGACACAGCGGATCCTTACGTCGTCGCAGAATTCAAGCTCATCCAGTCACAAATTGCGGTTGAGCACGCTCAGGAGTCCAAGACGTATCTGGATCTTTTCAGAGGCTGGCCGAATCTTCGTCGCACAATTCTTGTAATGATGATTCAAGCCGAATGTCGTAAGTCGCCCGCATTCAAGATTTAGAAAGCTCGGCATCTAGGCAAGTCTAACGAATTCAACAGAAATGACAGGTGTGTCCGCAATCCAATATTTCTCTCCTCAAATCTTCGCCCAAATCGGAATCCCGACTGGAACGACCCTGCTCCTGCAAGCCGTCAATGCCATAATCGCATTCCTAGGGACTGCTGTATGCATCTCCATTATCGACAAAGTCGGCCGCAGACCCATGGAGATCTGGGGTGCTGGAATAATGTGCATAACCTTCATTATCAACGCTTCCTTGATCAAGATCTACCCCGCCACCTCGACCAACACTGGAGCACATTGGTCGTTCATCACGATGACATGGATTTTCAACTTCGTGTTCTTTATCACGAGTGGTCCCCTCTCTTGGGCAATTCCGGCCGAGCTTTTCGGCACAGCCCTCCGCACGAAAGGTGTCTCGTTGGGGGCGATGACAAGTTTCGCATTCAACACAATGATTGGACAGGTTACTCCAATTGCTATTTCCGCCATCGGGTGGCAGTTCTATGTCATATTTATTGTTTGTAATGCTGTGAACGGGGTGATTTTCTGGGCCTTCTTGCCGGAGACCAAAGGGTTGAATTTGGAGGATATGGATGAATTGTTTCGCGATTCTCCAACTTTTGTCCCGGGTTCGAAGTGGCAACCTAACTCACATATCGATGCTGATGCTGAGACCGTTGCGGAGCAGGAGATGAGACTTGGGTTTGGCAATGGGAAATTTGGGCGGGACGAAAGTATGGAGGCAAGTGAGCATGTTGAAAATGCTAAGGGTGAGGTCTTCGATTAAGTTTCTTTATGCGAAAAACCTCCAACATTATGTAGAAGTAGGACTTGGATTGTGTTGTAGACGCAGAAAGCCATGCTCTTCTCCTTATCATTCTATTAGCAAAGATTCTAGTACTCGAGCGCTTTTGTCGCGAAATCAATAGTTACCTCAATCAGATTGTCAAAGACGACAACATTAGATAGTAGAAAGTTAGAATTCCTGCCCTCTATTGCAGAATCTTCGAAGAGTCGGGTACCTGCTTTGGGATTCGGACATGTGGTATCGCGCCTTCGATTGGCATCTGTACATCCACGACGATAACATTCTGATTCAGCACAACCTGTTCTATAAAGTTGACTCTCATTCCATGATCCTTACTTGAGCACCAGCATCCCAAGCAGAAATGACTGGGATCCGAGAAATGCTCCTTATCCCACTCGTTTACTGCATGCCTGTCTTGAAGGAACACTGTCGCTGTGTGCCAATGCCTGAATGTACCGTCTCGTTTTGTGTGTACGATCAGCATAACAAGCCAAGTGTGACCGTTCTTCTTATCATACAGGCCGAAAGCCAATCGACATCGATTCAGCTCTCTATTCCATGCTGTACGAACCATGTTTGTGTTGACTTCCCATTCGGAAAGTATTGATCCGGCTTTGCAAAAGATGTAATCTTGATTTTGGTCGTAGCCGTAGACTGTTCTCAAGATGAACGTCTTGTAAAAATCCCATGGCGCGTTCAGAGACTGATTCCCTCGAATATAAATTGTATGGGAGCGAACTGCGGCGACTTGGTCTGGAGAGCAGTGCTCTAGCTTTCCTAGAGGGTTCCTTTCGAAGACCGATGGATTTGATGTTTGAAGTAATGGTATTCCGACGATAGATGAAAAATCTCCCTTGAGACGACAGTCTAGTAATCCAATGACTTCACTGCCACGAGCCAATAGTGGAAGTCGAATGCTGAGCCCTTTGTTAGTCATGGAAAAAAGATGAATATCAGACATGCTGGGAATGGGGACAATGTCCCCAGCGAATTGAAACGCTGCAGGTGATCGTGCTAGTACTCCGAAATTGGGAGAATCCTTTGCTGAGTCCCAGGCGAAGAGAGATTGGTCATCTGAGACCCTCAAGATTTCCTCTTGTAACCGGATGAAGGCCTTTCCACCCTCTCCGTATAAGAGTGGCATATGGACGCCGAACAAGCCAAGTAAGCAATAAGCAATATCTTCAACTCGAGTAGTTTGCCTTCTTGCAGCCCACGACATCCGTTGTGCAACACCCACGCTTTGGAGATGTGATCTATACTGCAGGATAAGCTCTGGGATCTTAGTGATCCTAGAGAGAATCTTGAAAAGCTTGCTCTTGGTGCCGATCATGTTCCAGTTCTTGTCGTAGAACTCGATTTCTTGCGGAGCCACGAGTTCCTGTAGTGTCCAGCCTCTCGAAAACCATCTACTGACTTGGAATTGATTGCACGTTTCGTCGGCACTGGGCCGTTCGAGAACGTCAACATCCTGCATATACACATAACATACAATGGCATCAGCATACCAGCTGAACATGGAATTGATAGCTTCGGAGAGTTCAGCACTACTAGTTTTGTCGATACAACACCTAAGATGTGTCAGGAGGTCTGGATTGGTGGAAAATTCAAGGAAACTCAGCCTCACGTGTCCACCCAAACATATTTATGACCATCAAGCTTGGCTTGACAACAGGCGTGATCGATCTTCGTGAAACCAGGTTTCAAACGCCAATTAGGCCCACCACCGATATCCTGGAAAGTAACTTCACCTTGTCCCCAGCAGTGAGAAAGTATAGCATATGGAGGAATCGTGACGCCAAAAAACTCTTCCAGCACCATTTTATCTACGTTGATGAGGCGCATAGTGAGAGTAGAGGATTTCAATCAGATGAACTTAAAACAATATCTAGGAGAGCAGACCTGAGAAAAAGATGGTTGGGAATAGATTAGATATTGAGGAGCCTCAGGAGGGTGTCAGCCCCACGCTGGAGCCTGATTCTCGGACAGGGCCGCAGCGTCCTAGCAGCAGATCCTCCGGACCTCCGTATAATTGAATTGGAGTCTTCACTTGAGCAAACTCAACCATCAACCCGAGAATGCGTGGTTGAAGGTCACAATGCACCTGTAACCATAGTTTCTGAACTGGAAAAAGGCTTAGCATGGCTTAATAATAGATCCCAAGCCGCAAAATCAATTCTTTGAACAAGATCCGTTTCAGAACTGTGTAACATTAAATTAAATTATCTTATCTGATCCCTGGCTTTCCTATGTTCTAGCAATCTATTGTCAGCGCTCTTAGTTCATTCCTTCGAGTCGACTCTCTACCTGTGTATGTATGTAGGACTGTCTGTGAATTTCTTCCTCACCCGGCCTGTGGAAATTGGTGTACCTGCGCTATGCTTCAATTGTGTTGAGGTTAGCGTACTTGGTCCGTGCCCTAATGTGTAAATAGCTGCTTGCAGAGTTTTCACTCTCTTATTATTGTCATCAGCTTAGCCTGAAAATCATCAAGAACTCTACTGCCTATCACCTGCATCTTCATGCTCTGCCTGCTCTGACTCTAACAAATTGAAAGTTCAATCAGAGCCAGTACCTCCGAATCGTTCATCCGAGATCCATCCCGGACGGTGCTCAACTGTGTGATCAAACTACTCTCGTCTGACTCTACTGCTGTGATGCCATTCAGCTCTGGATCGCTGCTATTCTTCCACTCGTACCCTCCTCCTTGGAAACTGCCGAGAACGTGAGGCAGTGTTGTTCTTGGACCATAGGGCAGCTTGGTTAAGGCCCGTTGGAGGTAGCTATTGATTGCAAACTGCCCTTCTATTCTCGTCCTCAAAGTGAAGTCTGACCAAATAGCATCATAACTAAAAAGTACCGCTGTGGCGTCGGGTCATTTGTCGCGAATGCAGCATTGAGCCGATGCGTCGTCTTGTTAATTAGAGGGTCTACTTGCTCTTGTACCGTATCAAGGCCCAAATCGTATGGATATGGGCCGGAGTCGGCCATATCATCTGGGTTTCGTCGACCATCCCAGTAATCCGAATTGGCCAGCAGACGCTGGCTTAGACTTTCCAAGAACCGGCCACAACGGATTGGAAGCAAAGTTATCAGTTAACAGCGGGTGGAAGCACGCATCCACATATTGACAGTACGATAAGACTCCAGGGAACCGACGCAGCTCATCATTCATGAGATCAAACAAGACATGAAGAGCATCTGCATGGCATCTTTCAAGGCCGTCCGCACAGGGGCCTTCACCCAGCTGCTGCTTCTCCTCGTCTGCTGATCTCGATGGCGTAAATCGTCGGAATCTTGTAGCAACGGATTTGTGGTGCATGGCTGTCGAACTTTTACTTTAACCATGGTGTTTTATTGCTTACGAGTGTTGATTATTGCCTAGGTGCCTACGACATAGGTATATCTGTTCTGTTCTGCTTCCCAAGGCTGGGTATACAGCTCGGGGTCAAAGTGTTGTGTTGTTCCCGTCTGTACGCTCATACCGTGGGTGGCATGCTTGTTTGTCTCTCGGGTATTTGCTAGATCTCATCGTCCTACAGACTCGACTATGCCTCGTTAGACTTGCAAATATACGCCACAACAAGCGAAACAAGATGCTTACGAACATGGGGACAAAAGTCCGTGCGTTCAGGCTGTAGAACCTCGAAATTAAAACTCTTCACATTAGGACTAAACTATCAACAACTCCACCATTATGGATCCTTTTACCACTCCACCTATGTCTCCACGTCTCCCAGGTGCAGAGATCAGAACCAAGCACAAAGAGGGCATACGCCGGCTCTTCAAATTCGCTAAAATAGGCCTGCAACAGCTCCAGGGCTACTACCACCTAGGAGACAGCACAGTTAGGAAGATCCTACTATACGATGTGCCTGAAAGAGCGCGCCCTACACGCACAGGGAGACCCAGAGAATC